GGAATTAATTAAGGCAGAGAGAGCATTACGTGGGGGGAATAAGGGAAAGACAATAAAAAAGAATGTGGGAAATGTCACAAATTGATGGGAAAGTGTGAACAGTGCAAAGAAGGGAGTTATTAAAGGTAAGCTTGAGAGTAGGATATAGCCTAGTCTAAAGCGAGGAAATTATTTTCCTACTAAGATTTAAATTTTGAAATCTCTAGAATAACGGGAATAGACATCGAGGTGCATCTCCTAACATGTTAGGAATAGAAAGACAAGAGAGAAGAGAAGACTCAATTCAATTTTGAAGAGAGGATGACGTTTGGGTAGAAAAATTGGAGGAAGTAATAAGTGTTTTTTTTATTTTTATTAAGTTTTTATTATATTAATTAATTTTAAACAATCATTGTCACGCAAACGCACATTATTGAAAAAACAATACTATTGACCGAACTTGGCTCAGAATCGTTTTTCGTTAGCAATGATTAATCGTAGCGTACAGACATAAATTAAATTCCCCTTTATATACTACCTTCCTAACTTCTCAGCTATAATAGTGGCCCACCCGTGGTACGAAGTATTAGTTTTACTATGATGTGCGTTTTTTTTTTTTTTTTTTACCACAAAACTAGTTCTGAAATATCAAGTATAGCACTTTTCCTGAAAGGAATTTTCCTGGGGTGGTACTTTAGTGAGGTCATTTTTTGATTTTCTCAAGAGTTTTCCCAATAGATGGGAAAAAACGTAGAAAAAAAATGGAAAATTGTTGTACTTAGTGGTCAACAAGAAAAAGTTGGGTGTAATGTAATATTTTTTTTTTTTTTTATAAGAATTTTAATGTCCAATTTCGACGAAAATCGTAAACATTACGGCCTTTTAAACGTATATAACCGAACTGTGCTCAGAATCATTTTTCGTTAGCAAAGATTAATCGTTGCGTACAGATATTTCCAGATAATTCTCTTGTATATCCTACCTTACCAGCTTTTCACCTACAACAGTGGCCTACCATCTTTTTTCGGAATTTATTTGTTAGATAATTTAAGAAACAGGCCGATCTAAAATACTACATTTACGTTATTTTTTATCACCCTTATTTTGTGAAAGCACACGCTACACAGCTTTGATTTTAAAAGAGCAATCTATATATTATTATAATATCTGCAATATATCGAACATTTTATAAATGGATAAAATTTTAGTTAAAATAAATTTTGGTGTTAAAATGTTTAATTTCTGTTAATCCGTTGACGCGATATTCCACTTTTAAGTTTGTTGTTTTATAAGTAGGGGAGGGCAGTACCCAGAGAGCCAATAATGGTTTTTAAACCAAAGCTTTGAAAATCAAAAATGATTTCACTCCCGAATATAAGGGTAACGAAAAATAACGGTAACGCAACATTTTATAGATTTGTTTGCTTCTTAGATTTTCTATAATAAAACATATTCCGAAAAAAGTTAACACTTGTCGAGATAATAGAGTGCCTTGCGTTATGTTGACGAGTGACGTATATAGAATTTAATTTTGGGAGGGAGTTATAAAAAAAGCTTTTGGGTTTTAGTTAATACCTAGATTAAATAAATTCACAAATACGCACGTGTGCCGTACCAACCATTAATTCCGAGGGGGAGGGATTGAATCCCCAAAACCCTCCCCTAAATACGCCACTGGTGTTGATCACCCTGTATAACGTGAAAACGACTGCTCAATATTTAAAGTTTAAACGTTTTAAACAAGTGTCGCATGCATAATAATTATCATAACTACATTTCATTATAATCAGATAATGATAATCGTTTCGAACTCGTCGATCCGTATATTATATTAAGCACATATTATTTTATTCGGGAATTTATACTCGGGCCGGAAGCAGTATACCACATATCGACGATGACGTCGACGGGGTCCATGTGGCCTAGATTTTCACTCGGCAAACGTGAGGCTTGCACGCTCTTCTCCTACGTGCATTATACGCGTACAATAATTATAGCTTTGCGTCTGGATTAATAAATTATTCAAAAGATTTGCTATTATTCGACCGTATATACATACGAATACTCGATCGCGCGCGTGATGTAAACGGCTGCGGTCAGCGACGGCCACGTTTGATAAAACTGAAACGCCATACTGCTGAGTTAAAACGAATAATCGAAAATTGTCCCGAAATCAAATTTCAAACGTATCATAATTCAAAAACGTTGTAAAACCCGCAATGATTTTTGTCAGTCTCTCGCTGCGTTTCGTTTTACACGCAATCACAGTGATCGTTGTAGATTTCTTGTGCACACATTTATTATACGATACAAGAGCACGTGTGAACTCGGCAAACTAAAGGGAAGCCAATCAGTAAACGCATTCTGTATTACTTTAACGTAGGGAATATGCCGATGTAGTGGCACTGCACTAGACGGGCGTTTTTTGATTTTTTTTAATTGAGGTAATCTATATAGATAAAAAATGAAAGCGGTAAATTGAGTCTCACGACTCCCACGTATATATAAATGATTACAATCGTACAATGCATCAGATTCTACAATTCCGCCTAACATCCGGGCTGAATTTTCGGCAACATCAAATCGTACGACAGTTACAATATATATAGTTGATAGTCATTTCACTCAACGCTGAATGGTTTATTTTATACCCCCGCGCGCAAAAATATATACATTATAATTTATACACTAAAAGATATACAATTTAACACACGCATTATTCAAAATTCAAACAAGAAAATCTAAACGAGTAACAGATTTCCAAAGACTGGTACCAACCGTACCGCTGTTCTAGAAAGGAAGTTGGTAGGGTTGATATTATACAAAGAGTAATTATTTATGTATATCAGGTAATTCATTTAAGTGGGTACACTCATTATCTCGGAAAGTATTAACTTCGTTCGGAATTTGTTTTCTGGAACATTCAAGAAACAAACTGCTCTACAATTTCGTATTTATTTTATTTTTTTTTCACTCTTATTTTTGAGGAGGAATTAGTTAAAATAAATTTGAGTGTCGAAATGTTTGATTTCTGTCGAATCGTTAACGAGATATTCCACTTTTAAGTTAAGGTTGGTGGAGAGTAGTGGTGCGTTATTAACACGCCGTGCGCCGTACAGCCACACGAATGATACTCCACTACTCTCCACCAACCTTAACTTAAAAGTGGAATATCTCGTTAACAACTCGACAGAAATCAAACATTTCGACACTAAAATTTATTTTAACTAATATTCCGTCTATCTATGGATATTTGAATACAGGTTGCCATTTGAAAATCAAAATTAGTTAATGGTCTTACCCCACAAAAATAAGAGTGACAAAAAATAACATTAATATAAAATTGTAGAGCAGTTTGTTTTTTGAATGTTCTAGAAAACAAATTCCGGACAAAGTTAATACTTTCCGAGATAATGAGTGTACCCATTTAAATGAATCATCCGGTCATGTACGCAACGATAAACCACGGGGAAAAATAAAAATGATCTTGTCAATGCAATAATAGTCGATCGAAAATGCTACAAGAAAGTCCATGTAAAGTTAGAACAAGATTTCTGATAAAAAAATAATAATAATGTTGCCAACAACAAAATACGAGTGTATTGCAAACAGATAACAAAATGGGAGAATAATATGCATAAGAATACAATAACGAAACAATATTACTGAACTTGATTTTAATAAAAATACGATTCGTAACACGAAATTCAACTGGGTGTTGAAGGATTTTATTATTTGTTTGAGCGTTTACTGTACTGACAAAGAAAACTTTCAGGAGACGTTCCGAAAAAACACCTCCTCGCAGTGTACCCGTATAGATTGCACAAACACAATTCACCTCGTCCGATTTCGTAAACACTGCCACTCGGTTCACCGCTTTCTATATTTCTATAGACCCGGGACCCGGTTTGCGCGTAAAAACGTTAAAACGGGACCCGGTTTACCGGAACGAACGCGGGATTGTTTGGGACCCTCGCTCGACGACCGGCGTCTGTTCGCCACGACACACTCCGGAAAGGACGTTTGCTGATGTTTTTACGCGACGCGGCTTACAGAACGTCCGACCCCGGCCCGGACTTCCGATATCTCGACGCACTATCTATTTCGTTTCGACGCGTATACGTATATTATTATTATTATTAGTATTATTGTTACTATTATTGTGGTAAAATCTCTCTCTCTCTCTCTCTCTCTGTCTCTCCGAGTCGGGCCGCGCAGGGGGGGGGGGGGTAGGTAGCCGGGATAAATAGTGGGCGGCCGCCTCGTGAGACACGTTCTCGAAGGCGAACGCGCGCGCAGAGCCGTACGATTATAATCTGCGTGTGCACGCAAGCAAAGCGTAATATACGTATACACGTGTATGTATCGGGCGTACAATAATATTATACGAGCCGTTGCGTTGTCGTCGTTGTCGTCGTGACTGTCGGCGGCGCGGCAACGGCAGTGGCGTCCTCTCTCTTTCTCATTAGCACACATATCGCGCAGCCGCCGCAGGGCCGGGCCTCGATACGTATTCGCGATTTCGGTAGCGGACGGCCCCCGCGCTGGACGCCCGCCCCCACCCGAACGGCTTTTATAGGCGCCTGTGCTCCGCCGCCGCCTTCCTACCACCTATATAGGTACCACACGTATTATTTATTATTATTATTATTATTATTATTATTATTATACGATAATGTATACGCTCGGTCGCTCGTTCGTTCGTCCCGCGCGTACCGACCGCCGCCGGAGACGTCCCACTCTGTTCGCTCGCCACGCGCGTCGGTGAAGAGGTTTTTTTTTTTTACTTCCATAATAATACTGTTTTCTTTTCGTGGTCCGCCACTCGAACGCGCACCGCGCCGCATTACACGGACACCAGCAAACGCACAAACACGCGCCGCCGCCGCCGCCGCTCACCGTCAGCCGGCTAGCTCGTCGTCGTCGTCGTCGTCGTCGTCCCACCCTCGAACTCTATCCGCACGCCGCGCATCGTCCGTATAAGACCGCGGTACGCGCGCGATATGATAACACTATTATCGCGTTCATCCGCCGCCACCGCCGTGGACGATCACCACTCGCTACAACGCCGTCGCCGCTGATCGTCGTCATCATCCGGTCCGGGGCAAACCGTCAAGCGGTATACCTACCTACCTACCGGTCACTACACTACACTACGCTACGCGGTCTCGCACCGAAATCGTATAACATAGAAAAAAAAAAAAGGTCGCTGATAGACGCGACCCGCGGGAAAATACTCGCCGACGACCGGCTGACCGACTAAATTATCATATGTGCCGTCATAACTAGGTCACTCGCAAAACGACTTTTTCGATATCTTTTATTAATTTTTTTTTTTTTTTTTAACACGCGTTTCATTATAATATTTTATTGATATTGTAATCGCGCCGAAAAAATATTTTTATTTTTTTTTATTTTTCGAAAACCTCCCCCTCACAACCCGAGAAAACGATCGTTTTCGTATCGGTTCTGCAATCCCGATTGGTTTTTCAATGACAGCGATTTGACATCGCAGATACCTCGTATACGTCACCGTCATTCATCCACGTTCGTATAAATGGTGAGTATACAATTTTATTATTATGTATAATATCGTATTATTATAAATAAAATATTTAAGTATATTTCAATTATTTATGACTGCGTTCAATACGTATCCGCAATGATATCGACAATTATCTTTTACTACGTCCTTTTACTTATGTTTTACTCGGATATTTTTTTATTTTTTTTTTTTTTGCTTGATTGAATACTTTTTTTGGGCTTGCGTTTAGCCGCCATTATACGAGTTCATTCGCGATTTTCCGAGGATATTTGTGACATTGTGAAAAGAAAAAGAAACGATTTAAAACACAAGTATTCTCACTATGCTTGGCTCAGAATTGATAAAGAATCCGGTGTAAAATATCCTTGGCCCGGTTCGTGTTGCGTATGTTCGCGATGATAGTCGTACACAGTACACCTACATAAATATAGGTAACTTTCTGCGCGTTTAATTAACTAAACGTTAAACGAACAGTAAAATATGCAATTAAAAGGGGAAAAGATTTCAACGCGACGATACGACACACTGGTAGTTGAGAGGATGGTCAGACCCGCACGTCGTCGGCTATCCAGCTGAACCTCGTGATTCGCGTGTGGCCAGAACACTATACGAGGAAAATAAAAAAAAAAATTCGCCAACGCGAAAATCGAAAATGGTACAAAAAGTACCTATACGATTTTCAATTGGGAAAAATGCTCTTTACAGACACGAAAAAAAATATTAAAACTTGCGAGTTTGCTGCACGGTGGCCGACGACGCCGTGCAGTTACACGTTTTATATAAACTCACCAACGGGGCACGACGTTAGCGAATTTTCAGTTCGGCAGGACGCAATTTTTCGCGACGTCAGTTTTAACCGTGTGAACTATAAGAATATTATCCTTGAGTTTGTACGTCAGTTTTTTTTGTTTTTTTTTTGTCGGTATTTCAACGCCGGGCCCTCGGTCATTAATGGACCGCCGTCGACGTGTCGTTCTTCCTGCGGTAAAAAGGGACGTTGGCCCGGTACGGGCCGTATGGCCGCCGGGTCTCGTATACGGAACAACGCGATAGTATCATATAATTTTTGGCGAGCGATAGCGGCGATTTCGTTCGATTCCGCGGCGCATAATTTCGCGCCGCGAATCCCGCCGGAAAAACGTAAACGCGTTATAATAAACACCCTCACCGGACCTGCACTCGCGTCGAATCCGAACCCATCGTGGAAAACAAAAACGAGTTGTCGCATACGTTTGCCTGCCGGGCCCCGGAGCCGCCTAAACGTATTCCGGTTCCCGTGCACGCCCGTTATAGTCCCGTTAAGACCTAACCCAACCCCGGTGGCTCGCTCCACGGAATCGTCTCGGTTCAATGCCCGGGGCACCGCCACCGAGTCCCGTTTCCGTTGCTTTTCGAATCCCGGACCCCCGCCGCCGGCCCGCGCCGCGAAATTACCGGTTTCTGAAAATCTTTTCCAATTTTATTATTATTTTTTTTTTTAAACAATGCGTATACGTTTTATAGATGTGGAAATATATTAATATATTACGTTTTAACGACAAGCGATGCTTTGCCGACCCGAAACATGTCGTCTACCGCGTATAAATATCAATATTAATGTTTTAAATTTGAAAAACTGAGAAGAAAAAAACAGATTTATTCGCGTCCATACGGACGACGAGATTGTCATCGCGGCTTTCTCCGCCGCCGCCGCCGCCGCCGCCGCAATGCCGGGGTCAAACGGGAAACGGGCGTTCGAATAAAATCCGACAAAAACCTAACCTCGCACATAACATTACGCGTTTTACGATAGTTATTATTATACCGGGACAATGTCGAAAATATCCAATGACTTTCTCCCGGCCGTGTTCCCGGCAATAAACTAAACGTTTTCTTTGAAATCCACGCTCGTTTCGGGACGGACAGAATCAGAAGCTTTCCGGCTCGGGCGGCGCACTGCAGCGCAGTGGACGTTCGTTCCGGTAAAAGCAAATTCAATAACTTTACGAATTACGTACCTCCTCCCCCCACGCCTGTAATTATTACGTATTAACTATAAACACGACACGATGACGTTAATATTTTTACAATATCTGTTTCATTTTGTTTTGTAGATATCGAAAGGCTCTTCCAAGACCAGAGTGCCGGACGGTTCGCCGACTCGCTCGGCGGGCGGCGACGTCAACAATAACGGGCCGACCAAGTGTCTGAACGGCGCGTGCGGCGGATACGGGGCGTCGTCGGCTGGTACCGGCGACAGGCCGGCCACGCCACCCCGGCGCGTTCAAGTCACCGCCAAGATACTGTTCGGGTCGGTGAACGCAATATCGACGATGAAACAGAACGACAAGCTCCATCGGAAAAAATCCCAATAACCACCATCACGCCATCACTCGTAACAACAAAACCGTCGGCCACCTGCCGCCGCCGCCGCCGACAATCACCACACTGCCTTCATACGCGCCCGGGAACGCGCATCGCGTACAGGGTCAGTTGATGCGATTTCGGTCGTTATTTTTTTAATAATACTTTTTTACTACAAACACACTGTGTGTATATAAACATGAACCTATAATGCGATTATAATAATCGAACGTCGGGCGAATCATACACGAGGAGAGGTGAGGAGAGTGTTGTTTGTCGAAAAATATTCGATCGTAGTGCCACTTGACGCGATAAATCCGAGTTCCGATCGGACGTGATGCCGGGGCTCCGCTCATTTTTCTACAGAAATTTTACACCGAATTTTCTACCCGTATGTTGTGACAGCACAACCGTCTTACGACCGCGCGACATAGGAAATTTTCGTTCGGCAGGGACGAATTTACGCTGTTAGTTTTGATACAAGAGTGAATTGACCAATTATCAAAAGCAAAAGGCAAAAAAAAATTATCCGTGTGGTGTCGTTTTTAATTTTTAAACGAGATATACGCATTTCGAAATCGTGATATTTCACACACTCATATGTCGCTTGAAAATTAAAATTTACGAGAAAAAAAGCGACGAAAAGACGCAGATAATGTTCTTGTCTTCAAGTATGATAATAGGTCAATTCACTTTAGTGTTAAAACTAACAGCGCAGAATCGTCACTGCCGAACAAAAATTTATCTGCGATGACATCGCGATGTCGGGCATGCATGCATCGGCGTCGTTCCTTTTCGAATCAGAAATCCCCCGATTACGTACCTAACGACACTATCGGTCATCGCCACGTTAAAAAAGTGGTTCGTTTGATGTGATGGACATATCGTTATTATTTTCTACTTAAAGTGTTAACACTTATGCATAATCCGCAACAGTTCGCCGGTAACCATCACGAAACAATTATATGAACATAATATTCACGTACTGCAACGAGACAGCATGTAACAATACCGCGGTGTATACTGTCGCAGTTTAAAATGCACTACTCGTTTGTTTTAATTACGTTTCTGTAGTTGACGCGGGACTAGCTGCGTGGTTATTGCTCAGCGTTTTATCGCTTATTCTTGGACGGAAACGAGAATTTCGCGGGGACAAAGTTTGTCGCAAGAAAAATTACTACGGGAAATATAATGAAAACGGGTGAAAATGAAAAGTGTTTGGATCGGGAATATCGATACGTACAGCTAGTAACTTATTCGCGCGTAAATATACCACCGGAATTCGAGAACAAAATATATGCTAACGTCGTGTTAAATTTTGATATCGCTCTATATGTACCTCGACGAAAACAATGTTTTCATCCGTCGGATAAATGCAAATCAAACGGCGGCACGTGGTTGTACTGCACAGTTTGTTGCGAAAACCAATAACTGCAAGACGGCGTTTTATATAGGCATTTTATGTTCACCGGTGCGTCCGAAAACAATATTTGCGTGATCGCCAAGTATAAAAAAAATAGTTTTATGTTTTAAAAACATTATATTTTAACATGTGACCGCATTTATATTCTACGTAAATAATTTACTTGTATTTTAACATAGTAAGACGGTCGGTTTTTCAGATTCGTGCATTTGTTTTTGTTGTCGGCCGTGAATTTGTTTTTTACTGTAATGGACGCGTTTCGTTTGTTATTTCGCGCTCAGATTTCGTTTCGACAATACGATTGTTTCGGCCATGCAGTTTCGAGCAACCCGGTAACTATAGTATTGCTGCAGTCATTTATGTTTGACAACTGCGTGCGCTTTTCGACAATTAGAGTTGCCGGGATCACCAAACAATTAAATACTATACGTTTACCGTCTTCGGTTACTGGTTATCCGTTTACAAAACGTTTTGGCGATATTGCGCCCAATATAAAACCGTTACACCGAAAACTACATCTTCGAAACACGCCTTAGTTTCATAGACTTTTTGTTTCGGCTTTCGAGGCTAAAAAAAAACAAAATTACATCGTAATCGATGTAATATATGAACCTAACGTAATATACGTTCCCTACGATGACGATAGTTATAACGATGCGTAATTTTGATTTCCGAAATACTATTACTGTACAAATTTAATACTTTTCTTATTCGTTTTTTTTTCATGGTCGATCACGAATTCGACAAAACGAGTCCCATATAGGTACCTAAATACGCCTACTCATAAACAGCAACGTCACCGTTAAATACGTATTACTGTATGAGTCATAAAAAAAAAAAAAAAAATGCTTTCTACGGATTTACACGAGTGAAAGGCACGTGATTATTATGAATACGCGTGATTTTTTTTTTGTCACGAGGAAAATCGACGGAAAACTTATGTACCGTCGTGATGGTGTTTACGTGGTACGCGCAGTTTTCGTACAACCGGATATTGTTGTATACATCGTATAACAAACATATTATTGTAAACGAGAGTGTGTAGAAAGTTGAAAACACACCGTCACCGTCCAACGATTTTCGGATCGTTTCGGATTTCGCCGCCGCGACGGGTTAAAAACGACGATTCGAACTCCGTCATCGTCGTCGTCGTCGTCGTCGTCGATTACCGATTAAGAGGAAAACAAATTAAAAACGAACGATATGGGTACGCTTTTTTTTTTTTTTTATAACGCGTTTTTATATTGACGGCTTTCACGGCGCATTTGAATATCAATTTAAGAAAATCTCGCGAATTTCACGCCTCACGAGACCGTCGCCGTCGCGCACGCGTTCCGTTTATGCACCGCATTGCAGTTTAATCGTATTCTATTATTTGTTCGTCAAATGGAGCGTGCATTATTATTATATCGGTGTACTTGTGTGTGAACAAAAAAGAGAAAGTGTAAAGAGAAAAAATCCGAAGATGTGTGTACGAGAAAAAATTACAATGACATAATCCGCGCATGTTTGTATACGGATGATGAGAATTTACGCGAGAAAACCAAGCGTGGGATGCTGCAATGAAAACGCGCGGCGGTCAAACGGTTATTATTTTCCTTTATAGTTTCCTATATTACACTTCTCAATCAACGCAATAAGAAAACGATAAATATTTTACACGCTACAATAATCGACTTATCACGATCATTCAGAAATGTTTTATCAGTGGCATGGAAATCGGGTGTGCAAGATGGGCGAATGCCACGAGCTTCCGCCGTAAGGGACATCTAAAAAAAAAAAAAATAGTTTAAAAATATCGTACAACAAACTATAAATAGTTTTTCCGAAGGACATAAAAGTGATGCGGGTTGATTTTAGAATAGGGTCGTAAAAAAGGGACGATAACACTCCTGCAGTCTTTTCCTGCGTTAAATAAACGGGTGGCATCGAGTCTCTCTCTCTCCGAATCCACTAAAGCTCAACAAACGTGCATCTTAAACAACATAGAATATTGGCCACTAAATTTCGGTATTATCGCAGATCGATAACCCGTGATAATATAACATACACGAAACTAACGCCGTGCGTTATCACAACAATTTTTGTGATAAACTTGTTGAAGTCCTCGGCAGAGACTACTATTAGTAGTGACAATTCGTGAAACGTCACTCGTACCTCACCTGCAGCTCACTACGCTTACCGTCGGTACAACAAAGAAACGATCGGCCGCCGCGAATCATCGCCGGCTATTGTTTTCACGAATAAGTCGCGAAAAACTTTCCGCGTACCGACGAATAACAATAATAATAACTGTTTTTTTTTTTTTAACGCGGATTTTTCGTTACCCGCCTAACACGCGCCTAGTCCTATTACGTACGAAATCGTCTCGGATCGTAAACAAAATCGTCAATTTCCGTAAAAAAAAAAAAAAAAAATAGAAAAACCCTGTCGCGTTATCTCGCGCCCACGACTGCGCATCGCCGTCGAACACGCGGCTGTTGACAATTCGTTAATCTCGGTTTCGCCGCGGCGCAGGGTGCCATGATGTTTATTGTACTTTACGGCGGGCGCACCGTGTATACTGCGGTATTTTTTTCCTATGCGTACATAGATTTATTATTATACTATGATATAGCAGCGCACAACGAGATGTGTCATGCTTTCTCCGCCGCGAGATAATAAAAACGCGCGCGCGCGGTAATTGTTCGCGTCATCTGCAACAGTCCGTTTCAGGTCCGCCGGGCTCGCGGGCACGCATCGCGCCGCCGTATATTACGCACCGGTGAAATCGGAAGCGCGCGCTTTTGATTGTTTTGCGCACGTTACGCTAATATTATGCACCGATACGAACCCGACCCGGCCTTTCGTCCGGTCTCTCTCTCACCGTTCCCGCCGCATTGGCTCCGTTGGCGGCGGCTTACTCATTCCGCGTGAAATTCGACGTTTCGCGATTTCTCTGGCGCGCGTTCATTCGACGACGCCCGCGTCGTCACCGCGATAAAGACTATAATGCGCGCGAAGGGAAACAATAACGGTGAAACGATGAACGAATGAAAGACGGACGGGAAGAAAGAGGACCGCGAAATTCGCGGTACGCATCTGATGTCGTACACCTAACACCCGTCGTATTTATAAAACACCAGCGGGTGGGTTTGTCTTGGCCATTCATCGCGGACGCCGCGGCGGCGGCCGTTCGAATCTCGTCGGCTTCCATATTGTGCGTATTGATTTGATTTTTTTTTTTTTTTTTTTTTTCATTGAAAATCGCTTCGAATACCTACGATGCAGACGCGCCCCGTGATGTTCCGCGAGGAGTCAATGTTTTACGCGACCGCGGCAGCAGCAGCAACGGCTAATACACACAACTGCACAAGCGCCACACCGCGGATGACACAACCTGCGCGCAATGGGAATTGTTTTCGTATACACATACAATTTGACGATTTCCTGCAAAAACTTCAAAAAAAAAAAAAAACCACTCGTTTTATTAATTTCGTCGGTAGTCCGTAACGACGGAAATATAATATAATACGATGAAGGTACGTAATAATAACACTAATATAACTGCACTGCGGCCGACGGATAATAATATTTATGATAACGGAGCTCGAATATTCATACAATATTCTATTATTTCGCGTGGAAAAAAAAAAAAAACATAAAAATAATTTAGTTCTAAAATTAATTTAACTATTTAATTATTACGAATGGAAAAAAAGAAAACTAAAACTCGATTGATTTACCATTTCCAACGAAATTTTACTAAATTAAAAAAAAATCTATTTATTATAATATAGAGAAAAAAAAAACGAAGTCGTATTCTTATTATTATCTCCGAGTATTAGTGGTAGTTTTACCCACTGCCTACTATATACTGTTAAGGGTATAATAATATTAGATAAATTATTGTTTTATTTATTTTTTTATTTTTTGTTTTTTTTTTTTTTAATTTATTTTTTTTATGTATATAACATTGGCTGTGATATAAATAATTATTGACTTTTTTTCAATCTCTGTTAACGCACATAATAATATAATATTATATACTCGTAAAAAATTCCCACCGGTTCCGAAATTATAATACTATTTTCGTTTATATACGTATTATATAGAATAATCATAAATATTATGCGAAAAATAACGACTGTGGGACTTAAATATAATAACGGCCAAGGACGAATAATCAATACGATCAACACAACAGATAGGTACAATATTACAATCTAACAACGTCGGACGGTCACTGCATTTTCTATTTCTCGACAGTCACGGCCGTACAATGTGTAGCTGGACCAATTTTTTACGTGTTTTTATTTGGGGGGGGGAAGGGAGAATCAAATCCAATCGTCTAATATTATTTTTGTTGCCACAGACTGTAATGGTCTACAACTTACAGTACTATTCGTGCACTCAACTTAAACAATGTTGATCGAAATTCCAGGGATGGTCAACTCCACCCCCCTCCCCCACTAAATACGACCTTGTTGACAGTAATACCTTATTATAAACGATACGTACATACTGACACGAGTGACGATACAGACACATTATTACTGTACAACAATATACCTAACAAACAATAAGAAATATTAAACTTTCTATACCTATACGATTTACTAACAACCAGACGAAGTACCTAATATTTGTACATTTGAAAATCGATTAATGCCTTACAGTTTATAGAACTCGCGTACTTATATACATTATTGGTGTACATAAATATATTTAATAGTATTTCAAACCGTACGATTTTTAAGACTGTTATAGCGTCAAAGACTTTGATTCAACTAAATTTATATATAATATTATATTATATATTCACATACTGTATATTACATATAATAATAATTATTATATATATTGTTTTGATTGTGTTAATGATGACTTTTGAATTTGTACAAACAAAAATAAACCTGACAGTTGTATTCAACTACCTACGACCTGCCTATTAATATAACGTTTTACACCTATACAGACGCCTACACTTTTATCGACTATTTTATTACAAGAGATCCGTGTCTACAATAGCGATTACGATTTTACAACAATTATACAAGTCTACCTACCAACCTGCATTTTCATACCTACCTTACTTGTCTTATACTTACTTATACCTATATATACTTGACAGTTTACAATAACTACTATAATATACCGTGTACCTAAATTTATACATAATACCTAGGTATACGGAAAAACTATACCTAATATTATGTTATAGTAACTTGATACAGTTACCTATATTAACTTGATCAGCTATACAATTACGTATCAACCAACGTACTAACCAACCAACATCCTAACCAACCGACGTACTAAGCAAACAACGTACTAAACAACTAACGGAATTCCCATTTTATACACAGCTTATACAAATCCGATGAAATAATAAAGTTCCATCAATATTATGTTACCTATGTTAACTTGATCAGCTATACAGTTACGTACCAACCATCGTACAAACCAACAAACGTACAAACCAACCAACGTACTAACCAACTAACGTATTAACCAAACACCGTACTAACCAACCAACGTACAAACCAACCAACGAAAATCCCATTTTTATGCACAGGCTTAGACAAATCCGATGCAATAATAAAGTCCGGTCAATATTATGTTACCTATATTAACTTGATCAACTATGCATTACGTACCAACTAACGTACTAACCAACCAACCAACGTATAAATCAACCAATGTATTAACCAACCAACGGAATTCCCATGTTATGCACAGACTTGGACAAAACCGATGAAATAACAAAGTTCCGTCAATAAGCATACAATTTTCATATTATTGCTGGTAGGTCTATTTTTAAATTATGCATTGACAAGTAAAAATTATAATATTTTTTCGGCATTCCTTATTAGTTACCTTTACATCATTATCGTAACATTATTTAAAGCTTCGCATAATAGATCCGATAACGTTTTATAATGGTAATTATTAAATTATTAACAATTTAATGCCTGTATTTTGTTATTTTTATCGGAAAAACCAATTCTAAATTTCGATCCCGGTAAACAATTATTCCCACATTTCCCATCTGCACGACGTTACTTTGTGATCGTATCAATATTTAAACGTACGATACGCCACATTACGTACACACGAGTTCGGTACAAAAAAAAAACAATAACACGACTTACCGATACGGATTATTATTGTCATACCGAATAATAATCATACAACTACAATAATGACGTACCTATACACGTTTGTGATGCGTACAGAATAATATGATGGAACGAACATTATTATTATTACCTATATTATAATACTTGTATACAGAGTGTATCGACAGTAATTCGACAATTTCCTACGCAATTACGTATAGGTACATTTGGGAATATTGTCGAGTCTTCCGGAAACATCCTGTATGATAATATTGTAGAGAATTGGGTAGTGTTATCGAGTTTCGTCCATTACACCTATGAATACACCGCATCATCACTGTACGGTAATATTAATTTGACGACTTTGTAATTTCACTTTGTGGGCTTTCACTTGGATATCCCGATACCCGCGCGTGTCGACCGTACAGCGTCATACCTATAGGTATCTTACATATCATATACCTATAATAGTAGAACGTAAAAATGAAAACTTATACAGTTAGAAAGTAGGTCGCAAGGTCATTAACATGTGACGTGTAAGTATAATACCTAGGTAGATACCTACAATAAGAGTTATAGGTAGGTATACTTTTTTATCCACCTGTAAAGGGTTTTTTTTCTGAATAGGTATACATTTCGAAACGTAATAATAAGAATGTGTATGCGTCGCGAGATAAGCTAAATATGCATTAAAAATTGTTTATACATATTAATCGTTTAATAAAAATCGGATACTTATTGTAGGTGTTTGAAAAAAAAAATCCATTCACTATTATTTGGAATAGGTTACCTAATTTAACCTATCTATACAAATATTTTATTCGATAATTTGTTTAAAATTGTCCGTTGTGTATCCGCGTCTATTTGATGCTAGTCAAAACTCGAATCTATTTTGGAACTTTCTTTTTTGTAATTATCATTATTAAAATTACGATTTTTTTACATCAAAAATCTTAATATAAATAATTAAAAATCAGAAAAACAAATCCAAAATATGAATTGAACATACAAAACATAAACGTTCGATTTTTGAATGTGGACGTCATCAAATGATAAACATCCTAACCCTTGAAAGTAATTACATAATACAATATTGTAATACTCACGGGCATTGTGGTCATCTTTTATTTTTTATACGCATAACTCACATTCGAACATAATATCGATTATGATAAAAACTGTTAGACAATATTACATTTGAAACGTTCCAAAGAAAACTGACATCCATAACTAGCGACTGCTATTATACTGGTAGGTACTTATAAAAATACATGTAACAACCTAACCTACCTATAATAATAACCTAACCTAAGCCTAACCTATACCCACAACTACAATAATAACGTACGCTACTGTTATTGTGTTCCACGACCACGAGTTCGTGCGTTATTTTATTACTATAGTCTACCGTTACTACTGAACGCAAACTCAAAAGACGATCTACACGACTCACACATAACTACTTAACTACTTAATCCTAATTAACCCATTGTGGTAATGCACAACTGTACAAGACTTATCACAAATATTTACAAAATGTTGCAATGGCATGAATCAACGAATGTTTGCTAATAAATATTATTAGCAAACGTTGCTATTGTCATAATTTGCTTCACTCAAGACACAAAGATACTTACAATAAAACCTAACCGGTATATAATAGGTACTTCATGGTGTAATTATGGCAGACGTCAGTCATTTATTTTTGATCTTACAATTACACTTGGTATTTAAATACTTATAACCTAAACATTATTATTAAACCTATTGATCTCTATAAGAAAAGAAAAATGAAACAAATATTGTTTAAAATACCTATTTACTTATACAAAGTAGGTACTTAGGCACATTCTAATAACTAATATATAATATAGGTACCTAGGTACTTTATCACTCTATAAAGCTACGTCAAGTATATTTCGGCAGCTTACAACTGCAGTTACAGTATGGCACCTGTGACTTACAATAACAACAAAAACTCGCATTACATTATCTACCTACCTATATGATTATGACTATACCTACAATTACACAATTATAAATACAGTGTACTTGACTTTAACTATAGTGACAGCGACCAAAATTACCTATAACCTACGACACAAACTAGAAAATTCTTGGAATCAACTGATTTAATTATTTTTTAAAACAACTACCACCAATACACGTATAGTTGCAATTTACCATATGGTGGTAAAGATATGGATGATACTGCTAAATTACACTTTTTGTTACTATTTTTACAAATCTTAATAATAAACTGTACTCTATTTCAAAAGAGAACACACCGCTTTCGAGCATGTCGACTGACGGATGGGCGGCCGTCCCGAGTAAAATTTCTCCCACTATCGTCGAAACGATGCAACGATCGTGCTAAACTGTCCGACGAGTATACGCCGATTTAAAATGAATTGTTTATAATTTGTGATATCCGACCGGTCAAGTCCGAGTAGGTCCATACCAATGTGAAAATGTAAAATAAAACACCAGACGCGCACTACGCATATTACACGGTTAGCGCGAGAATCAACGTGTGTATTATAGTTGTGATATTTGGTACCGGCTGTATGTGGGTTTACAACGAACTGACGGCGGGAGCGCGCTCGTCGTGACCGGTGGAACCTGGTGGAAATGCGCGTCACTGAACGAAAACTGGTCACGAAAGCGGAATGTTCTCTTTTGAAACAAAGTTATAGAATACATGAATACACCAGTCTACTAACTACCAATTCAACTAACTTATTTACTTAACTAACTATTCACCTACTTACCTTATGAACTATTAAGTATAAACATTCATTTTATAATATGCCTAACTGCACAGTTATAATAAATACATCTGTTTAATTTTATTATTATCCGAGTTTAATAATATGGTACCTACCTTCAGGTATATATATAGAGGAATTAGGGGTTCCTCTACACCCTTACGAAATTTGAAAAACACATCATATACTAATTCTAAATCTCAAAAGATTTAATTATTTTTACTTATGAACCACCCCCGAAATTTTGGTATGTGTACTATTATTATGTCTGCCCACCTTAACATTAACAATAACCATAATACTATAACATTATCAAGTGCCTACCAAAACATAAAATCATTAAACTGCTGTGATGACCGTAATGAATATATTATAAGTCTTACATAAATTTAAAATAATATTTACAAATAGAATCTTAATAATTAGGTGTCTACCAACCCAACATAAATATTTGATTAACTTGACTTTTAAACTATTATTTTAATGTAAACTTTTTCTGTTTAAGTATTAAATGCCTACTTAACTAACCTTTATAAAATAACATAATAATAAATTAACTTTGACAGTGAACATAACATAATTAACACTACCAAATACCAACATCACATAATGCAATTGACAAACACTACCTATTATCAAAGTGTAGCTGGACCAAATTTTCAGTAAGGATTTGAATTAAATCAACTATTATTTTTGTTACAAACATAATTAGCATTTATCTTGGAAATAATGTACAATATTTTTGGAAAAATTAAGGGGAGAGTTTGAACTCCCAAATTCCTCCAAAGATAAATAAAGCCTTATATATTATGACTATTATGGCTATTATAACCTAAGTACTAAATATATTATAGAAGTACTTACCCACTTGATTAAATATTATTTTTTCAATTAAAACACTTATTAACAGAAACTTAAATTTTAATAATTATACCTAAGACATATAAATATTTAACAAACTTAACTTTTAACTATTACTCCAATAAAAATGTTGTATAATTAATTATCAATTTTATAATATAGTACCTATCTAAACATATAGTTAGGTAGATAAAAACATTGCCAATGGCCAGCATACACTAATCATACCTAACAAACATTGATACAATAGGTACCTACTGACTACTGTGTATATATACCTACACAATTATATAAAACATAACTTTATAATATAATACGATATGTATTGAATAGTTACAACTTTTACTTTTAACTGAATATATATAGTTTTCTAAGTAACCGCCTAATATGTTAATAATCAAATATTTGACTTAGATATTAAATACTACTAAACTTACTTACTTACTAAATAAAGTTATAAACCGTGGAAAATAAATTCAACAAAATACATTTAAAACTCATACACTAAGTAACTATTGCACTTATAAGACTTAAAAATTAATATAATACCTATAGTATACCGAATAAATATTTAACTTACTTATTAGGTAATAAAAATATTACACAATTTTCTTAAAAATAACTACACATTGGTGATTAAATTGACAATTGGTTTACAATACTAACTACATTTCAACATTTTTAAAAAGTTAAGTGATTATATATACTAGCTACTTATAACATATAGCTAATGGGAAAACGTTCAGAGTATTAAAATAGTTGATTTACCTATCTATTAAAAATATTTATAACTTTTAAGTTTTATAATGAAATATCTCAAATATAGTAAAATGGTTATAACAATACATCTATAAAAAAAAAAAAACTGTTTTTTTGTGTACTGAAATAGGTGGAAATCGTGTTTTTCTAATATTTAACTTGTATTACAAATAACATTACTAACACAAATATCACAAACCTATACCTACAATAGAACTACTTTTTGGACAAATATAACACTAATAACTTCACTAAATACTAACAAAAAAAATAAAAAAACTACAACAAATATAATCTTTAATAATATGATCTAATAGATAGATGTAGTGCTTTCTGTAAGTGCCTTGTACCAATAGATACCTAGTATTATTAATTTATTATATTATTTGTGACAAATGATCTTAAAAGTATAAAATGAACAATAAATAACAACCATTATAACTTATTTTTAACTAGGTAGATATATTACTTTTATAAGTGACTGATATTAAAACATTTTACTATACAAACTTAAGTAATTTAATCGCAGAATAGAATGTAGGTATTTATTCTGTAAGTAACACTAGTGTGTAAACTTCATTTACATTAACAAACCATATTTACATACAAACATTACAAACATTTAGCAATATTATGTACAATAACTATGACATGATTACCTAATCATAGTTACCTACATACTAACATATCTACTACATACCTTACTTACCTATAATTTATGAAAGTAATATATTTAACATACATACTTATTTACAATTATAGTAAAAAAAAAACTCATCTAAACTAACAAATGAAATAATAACACTTAATACAATTAATATCAAATTGTAAAACTATGTATTATTTTATTTGAATTTAAAGTCTCAATGACTAAAACCATTTCTAAATGAGAATAATTATGTTTCTATTTATATTTTAAACCAGAAAACCAATAACATTATAATTCATTGATTTATAAATCCAAATAAAAATCATCATTTATATCTAACACCTGTACATATTAGTGTGCATACTTAATACACCTACTAATTATTTAACAACACATTTACTTTTATAAATAAAATGTTGTAGATTATTTACAATAAACAAGGGAACTTACTCATTACTTGTAAAAAATAATACTGACAACATATTTTAACATTCCACATAAATATAATTGACATTTAACATAACATTACAATATTATATAGGTAAAATTAACCAAATTAGATATCATATTGAGCATTTTAATAAAAAAAAAAACTAGGAACTACTATTACATACTTTACTTTCTTTTTTTTCAACTAATGTGTAATTACTAACTGATCTTATATCACATATAATAATTATGAATATTTTAAGTAAATAATTTTATTTTTATTAAATAAACTATTTTACAAAATAATATTATGATTTTAATTAATTAATGAAATTATTTGACTCGTTATTAACTATTATTTATTACTTCATTATAACTTAACTACTAAGGTTTAAAATTTAAGTTAGAAAAATCTAACAAAACTAATACTAATACAACCTAATCATTAGTTGGTAGATGATTCCTATCAAATGTAAATAAATAATTATAATAGTTACATCAATATTGTAACCATAATGATACAATTTCTTATTTATAATGTTTCTCATAAATAAGTAATTGATTTAACTTTACAAATGCTTGAAATATAATTTGTATACGATGTAATAAGTATATATAAATTATATTGTACCTACTGAACTGTTGGTCGATTATTATCAAAATTTAAATTATTTTTTATTTTTCTGTTACATAGCTACATAATTCTTTTAATTATATGAATAATTTGAATTCTAATTGTTTTACCATTTTTAAATATATAACATAATTTGTTAAACACTTAAAAATAAATCACCGCCTTTTACCTATTTAATGTAAATTTGAAAAATTGTTTATTATATTATTAAAAAAAAAAAAAAGTACATAACTATATATTAAAAATTTTTTTTTTTTTTTTTTTTTTTTTTTGTGGGAAATATTTAAACTGAAAGTAATTGTTAAGTTGAATATTCTTCAAACAAATACTTAGCTACCTATATATATTTAAACTACCTGTTTATAATACAATTTTAATTTTAATTCAATATTGACTATTGTTAATATTTATATTCTAATTTTGAAATTATTCACATGTGTAATAGTTTTCAGGGTATTATGGTATTAACACTAATGTTGACATATTATAAATTATTTTTTTAAGTTTAGTTTAAGTTACCTACAATGTAATAATGTGGTTGTTTATACCAATATTTTATATTTTGTGTATTGGATTATATTGACCAATTTTCTCATATAAAAATATTATGTTTTTTATTATTACTTATTTATTATGTATTGTTAATAATTTAAAGGAAATAAAAATAGACATTTTCAACATTTGAAGGGTAATGGTTTTTATTTATATTGTAAAATTCTACACAGACACTATATCATAATCATAAATAATTCAAATATTACCGGAAAATTGAATATAATTATTTACATTTAATTGTACATAAATATGATTTCAATTTCTGGATACTAATATTGATTTTAATTTTTCATCAGAACACATTTCTAATGCAGTAATTCCATCTTCATCTTGAATGTTAATTCTTGCACCCTTACCAATTAAATATTCACAAATCGCCTCATGACTGCAAGACACAGCATAATGCAAAGCTGTCTGGCCCGTATCGTCTTGAAAATTGATATCAGCAGAACGATCTTCAATCAGAAATTTCAGTATGTCTAAATCTCCACGATCAGAAGCCCAATGAATCGGCGCCATTCCCATAGCATCATTAACATTTACGTTCCCAGAGAATGTTTTTATTTTTTCCAAATCACCATCTTTTACCCAGTCACTTATGGTTTTTTCATTTTCTGAAAGAGGTTGTTCGTCATTAGCAAATGTACTCACTGTTACCCAACCAGTACTTTTTTCCTCATCAAATTTTGGATTTATGGAAATGACTAAATTTATATATCCTGCCATAGCTTCTTCTTTGGACATTAAACCCATTTCGGACCAAGCATACCATTTTTTTCGACCTTTAAGATCATATATTGGAGGTTTTGGTAGATTGCATTTACCTTCTAGTGCTTGCTTATAAAATCCATACAATTTAAGTTGTACATCAACATCAGATATATTAGTACCAGTAATAAATGACACAGCTTTATCAAACTGTGTAGCTAAATACTTGGAATTGAAATCCATTAGTCATATAACTTAACTATAATATATAAAATAAATACTAATAGAAATATATAGGAGAATTATTGTTCTCTTATAGATAAATATTGGTTCAATAAAAAAATGTTTTTAGTTTTATTGCCAAATGGTAATCATAATTATCGAGAGACTGTAGATTTGACGATTAATCCTTGTCCATCTATCTCATGATGATTGTTTTTTAGAACGCTTTCGTATCCACCAGGTGTAGAAAACTGAACAAATCCGTAACCCTTTGAAAAACCAGTAGTGTGATCAAACAATACGTCGGCTGATACAACGTGCCCGTATGCAGCAAAATATTTACGAAATTCCCGGCTGCTAACTGTCCACGGTATATTTCCAACAAACAATTTCGTCAGTTTTGACATTTTATTTTAAAAAATGAACTTCAGAAACAAAAATATAAAGCATCAAGAAAACCACGTTTATACAATTTTTCAATTTTTACTGCCTAGAGCTTATCTACTGATACTACTGTGATAACGACATCTGGTTATTTCTATACAAAGAGGTTGTACAAAAACTAATTATTTCCTAGACTTATTTGAAAAATCTGGATTACCGCACAATCGTTTTTTTTTTTTTTAATTTTATATGTGTATTAGGTCTATGGTTTCAAACACCAACGCAAACCGCAGATAATATCCGTGTCACGGATTAAGACAAAACGGACTATAGTAACGGTAACGATAGCGTGGGCGGGTGACGGGGTACGGGCCGCTAGTCTTTTCTTATCAACAACACTGTAGAACACGGACTGTAGCTTCGACCATATAAACCATATTATTAGTTTATATGGCCGAAGGACTATAGTCTCTACCCATAGATATAAAAAAACGCTGTGTCCATACGCCCGACTATGTTCGGTTAACCTAAGACAATTAGAATCGTGATTGAAATATACAAGTTGAGCATTTTTGATATCACAAAAAAAAAAAAAAAATGGTTGCCTAAGAGTGCAGTCTCTTATCAATTTCCTAATTTATATTTTTCAATTTAATTTTAACAATTAACAATTAACTAAATACCTATACATAATTAATAATTTATTATACTATTATATGTTATATATTATAGAATAATTTTCAAAATATTTGAGCTATTTATAGACAATAATAATTTTGCTAGTTCTATACACAATATTTATACGATAGGTACTCTGTGGATAAAATCGTTGGACTGAACACCAAGCAGGCTTTTTAAAACATGTATCATTGAACTCCGCTCAGAATAATTTTTCGTTAGCAATGATTAATCGTTACATACATAAAAACATTAAATTCCCCTCTACATCCTACCTTCCCATCGTCTCACCTACGACAATGACGAGACTGCCATCTACCATCGTGCGTATTGGTCATATTTTCTGGTCAGGTGTTCCTTATCTTACCTACCATAGTCGGGATATAATCGATTATAGACACAGTGATATAAAAAATATCAACAATTTCTATACCGAAATTAATTTTAACTAATTTTTATTTGAGTTGCTATTGAAAATCAAAATTAGGTTGCTGATTGACTCCCAAAAATAAGTACAATGTAACATTTTAAAGCTGATCGTTTCTTAAACAGTTAAAAACAATTTCTGTTGAAAAGTCAACAGGTAGGTACTTTTCAAAATAATGAATATTGTATAATATAATAATCACTTTTGCATATAAAAAATTATTAAAATAAAAACTTGAATCTCGTAATATATACTTTAAACTTTCAAGTAGGTGATTGGAGAATTTTAGAGGTAAACTCACATGTATTTACAACGTACATACAAATAAATTATTGAAAACCAAACTAATTTTTTTTTTTTTTGAATTTTTTAGGAGTTTAATTTGTTTGTATTTAAAATAGGATCAAATAAAGTACCTATATAATATAGGAAATATACTTACCTAAAAATCAGTGGCGCACAATTTTTACACAGGTGTCTAAAATATAAATATCTAAGTACCCAACCACTTCACCAGTCAAATATGAGTTTAGGCATAATAAAACTAAATTACAAATTAATACAATTAATATTAAACAAATATACATAAAATTAACATCTAAACTCACCTGGCACCAGGCACCCACCAATTTTCTGAAGTCGACACCCTAGACCTTACCGGTGTGCGCCACTACTAATAATACCTAACTAATAGAGAACATAAATGCATACAAAGTATAACACTATGATAAATGAGTATTTAAGAGAATACAGATTTAGATTATGATTCTAATGGTTATTGCGGGAATACAAATAACAAACCATAAAAATGGTATTTTTTAGGAATTGTGAAAATTGCATCTACTTATAGGACACACAAGCCACCCACACTATTATTATAGTCACTAGACACTAATAATATATTCAAATCTATATATAGATAAAATCCAAATACCACGGAGTCACTGATCACTGTATCTCAAAAAATACTTAACGTACAAACTTGAAATTTGGAATAGTGACTCCTCTAATATTTTCACCGTGGATTTTTGAAAATTCAATCCCTAAGATTGTATAATAGGGGTTTTTAGGTATATTCGATACGAATATCTAATTGCTTATTTATTTATTTTTATTTATTCAAGAGTTACCTTGGTGTTACAGAAAAGAAAACTATTATAATAATTATTACTATTATTTGCACTATTAAAATGTCACAAAAGAACACATTTAGTACACCGAAGGTGGACTAACCACTTTCCACCTATTCGTTTTCATTCAATTCTAACACTGCCAAAACCAAAAATTATTATGGGTAGATTATTAATAATACTAATTGGCAGGGACAGCTATTTAATATACAATAATAATGACTAAATACTAATATTTAGAAAATTATTTTTAATTTACAGTTACGCGCATTAAGAAACGTGTCTAGATTTAGATTCCCGACTTTTAAGGTTTTTTTTTTACAATTGCCACCTTTGCGGGTTCTGTATGTGAAAATGAATTTTGATTAAGTCTACCGGATTACCGTCATCGGATCGGGAGGTCAAGAATCCCATTTTCCGAACCAGAATTCAATCGGAACTATCGGGCCCGTGTAATCGTACACTAAAATTACCTATAGTAAGTAATAGTATTATGATAACCTTAAATAATATCATATTATATATTATTGAATTTTCACCGAGTACAGACAGGTAAGACGCGTTCTTATCAATAATTTTGTATTATTTTATTATATCAGCTGTTATATTCCCGTGAATAACATTATACGGGCTTACGTGAACAAATCAAAATAATTCCCAATAGGCGTGGAATTTATTCCAGGAAATGTAACGAATCGCTCGCGCGGACACACGCGCACCTTCGCGGAAACTTTCGAGTTTTCCGAAAACAACCGTGCCGGCACGATAACCCCGAGACTGGTTTCTCTGGAACTCGAACGGTCAGACGTTGAATTCGTAAATATTCTGAAATAATAATCATTAGAAATTAAAACTAACCCATTGAAGGGGATCATAACGACTGTCTGCAACAACTCGGAAATTAATTATCGTGGGCGAGCGATTCGAAAATTTAACTTATATTTTAATCAAATATAAAACACGAAATAAATCGGGTATGAATGTCGGTAAATCCTAACCTAACCTGGCCTTACTAATGTTATATAAATACACGAATTAATTTGCAATACTATTACGAGTAGATACCTACCTAGGTATTAATGATACAGTATCTGAACGTTAATTAAATATGTATGTATAGGTGCTGTATTGGTACACGAAAAATTAGTATTCAGCACGTGGTATTCAGTAAAACTATATGATACACAAATATTCATATTTAAATAATAAAGTATCACGTAATATAAATAGGTAGGTACTTTCCGGTAAAAATAATTCCCGACATAGGTACTTACTTGAATTCTTTTTTTAACAATTATGCTGTGGTATGTGTTAGCGGCGTTTTGAGAATAAGTAATTTCAATTTTGATACTTTAAATCGTTTTCAGCAATTTTAACGTCTATTTTCATTTCAAACGAGATTTGTTATTGAGACAATAATATAGGTCGGTACCTACTGTATTAAGATACGAATCAAAATTCAATATAAGGCGTAGAATCAAATTAAAATACTTGTACCTATTTTAAAGCAAAAATAATGTTTAGTAAATTTATATCCATCAACCTAATTGTATAATAAAACAATAAAATAAAATATGTATAAATACGTAGATACATAACCAAGTTGTACCGGTGAAATTCGATTGAGCACGATTCTTATTTTTGAAAAACCCTATTGAGCACGTTTAAACAAATGCAACGTTGCCAATTTTTCTGTTTGTCCACAATCAAGCACACCGACACATACGAGTCTTTAGAAATACTCGTTAACTACTATACGTAATGCCGAGGTGAATATCCGTCAATCGTTGTGCTTTACGGTTAATTGAAACTAAGTCATAAAAATACGAGTTTTATAAAAACGCAAAGAATTAACGCAACTATAATGGCTTATGACAAATATGTAACAAATAAACACTCTAAAGATTTTCTAAAATATTTATTATGTCTACATTTTTTTTTTTTTTCTAAAATTGTAATCAATTTTATATATTTTTAAGGATAAAAACGACAATATTATATTGTTATAACGACAATATTTTTTATACATAATTTCTTCATAATTTCGTCCGGTGACAGTAACTGTTTTACTAAAAACATTTTTCTAGATTTCCAACAGTTAATCTGAGAAAAACTTCAAATACTTACAATATCTACAATGGTTTTACTTTTATCGTTTCTTGGTTACCTTGGCTACAATGGGAACAAACCTTACTAGTTAACCGAGCGCCACTCAAAATCGTTTTTCGATTGCAATCATTAATTTTTATTTTGGGATATTATTTTATTGTGTAAATTATAAATCACGCCCTATATTAGCTATACCTTCTCGACTTCTCATCGCTTTTTCCCGCCCGAATTGTTAACCTACGTCTACGGGTGAATGACGCGACGACGGTGGTGTCACACTGGTCGTCTACAAAACGAATCCTCTTCAACCAGGGAAAACCACTCGTTCCGGGAACGGTAGAAGACGACGGCTCTAAACGGATACGTATGCCATAGACAAAGGGCCGCCGGGTTTCATGTGCTAGTTTCCTATAAACCCTCGTTACCTCCCCTCCTGCGGCGGGGCATAATGTCTTCGCCGAAATCGTTGGCACTCGCTACGATCAGCTTGTGAATTTCTTCGGAAATCCTTTGGCTAACACTTCCGAAAAACATTATCGAATGCTCGGATTAAAATATTAATAATAATTTGTATTTATACCTGCATATTATATGAACGAGATTTCGGGCGAAATCGCTAATACAATTTTGGAAGCGGCTGCAAATTAAACAAAGTATGATCATGATCATGATCATGCAAATTATATCAATATATACACATTTTGGAAATATTAGAATTTTATTAAATTAAGGGGAATTTTTTTTTTTTACCAGTTAAATTTCCATAGACAATAGTAAAGTTGTATCAATTATCCTTCAAGAAAATAAATAAATGATCATAAAAGCACCACGGTTTATGAGGAATCATTAGATCCACAGCAATACTGATAGAAACCCCTTATGAATATTTGGATAAAAAATCAATTTAAAATCAATACTAAATACTAATACTATACTATCATTATGATTACATTATTATTAATCAATACCATCAATATTATTATTATTCATATTACCAACTTCACTTAGCTTTTAAACCTTATTCAAGTTATTAATATTTTAATATAATTGTAAAAAAAATAGTTGCAATAGCACCGAATGTTCTGAAGCATTTTTAAAATATAGTAAATATATACAAATAATGATAGTTTTCAAATTCTGGCCAAAATATTTTTTTTAGCATTTATATTCTTAAAGCAAGACTTGAATAATGGATATTTAATAATTAACTAGTTAATAAGCTAATTAATTAAGTTGATTTTACATTTTAAGAATAACCAAAACTAATAAATGTCATCAAATAATATTATAATAAATAATGTATTGATTTATTAAAAAAATATATTTATTATATTATAACATTAACAAAATTAAAATACCATAAACAAAAATTCACAAATAGTAAATACAAATATTGCAATTTTTTAAAAAAAATTTGTTCACTTATATAGTTTTTATAAAATATTATTGTGTTTTAAAATAAACAAATTTTAAATTTCAAAATAAACTGATAAAAAGCCAATGTTTTTTAACAATTGCATACATTTTTAGTTTCACTTTACAATATTAGTTAAGTATTATTATTTATATATAATAAAATGTGTTTAATACTTATACAATCTGATATGATTAGAAAATATTATTAATTCAAACAAATTTTAATGTATTAAGTGGATTTATAAAATGTTAAGTAACTAATGTTTAGTAAAACAGGCGCTAGAATGAACTTCATTCAGTGGGAGTAAACAATTTATAATAAAAAATAGATATATTTTCTTTACTGATCGATCTGAAATTTAGATACTAATTAAATGTATTCAATTGTAACATTTTATTATTAAAAACAAAGGTAGTATTCACTAGTTCTTGTCCCGTAATGCTATTATTTCAAAAATTTAAATGAAAAAAAGGCGTGAATTAAGGAATTTTTACATTACACTATTATTCTAGTGATTTCATTGTGGTTCCAGCGCCCAAGCAGTTAATTTAAAACATATTATATTATAGTAGAGTTAAAAAGTTTAACTATATTGGCGGTTTCTGGAAATCTTTCTGGTTTTATCATTGAGTTTTGGTGGTGGTGGACCTCTGGCAGCAATATGACGATTGTACAAACTGTAAAAATAACAAATACAATTTTTGTCAATTTTTATTTTATTTAAATATATTTATACTACACTAAATAAAGTATATAATAATAAACACAAAAAAAAAGACGAATCTGTGAGTTTGATGATTAGAATTGCATGGTATATTATGACATTTTACATCATATTTTATAGTTTAAACTGCTATGCTGTATAAATTGCTGTTCTCATATTTGAACTTTAATTTACTAAACAAATACTACATAACAAACCAGAAAGTTTTTAAATAAAACTATTTCAAGAATAGAAGTCACCAGTCAAAAATCTACTTTTTATTCTTTTTTTCAAAAATATCTACTATTTTAATAGCATAATATTTTTATATCACCAATTGTATAGTCTAGTATTTAAATGTCCCATTTTTAAAATATCTTCAATTATAATTTATATGTTTTGGTTATATATATTATCTAATAATATAATACTCTATGTTACTCTTAAATACCTATCTCAGATAATTTTTATCAACAACTGTATGATTGATTCTAAATAAATAATAAATCTAGTATACATAATAAGATAAAAATACTTACTATCGGTATGTCTCTGATCTAATATAATCAATTACATGAGATACACCAACTTGAAGTTGATCAGCAATTGGTGCAACCCAAGGATTAAATTCCATTCTCAATACAGATTTATTACCAAATAAATCCAAATTACCTAATTCAGGTGGCAAAACTGTAAGTCGATTAGCTTGGATATGTAACTCACGTAATCTGGGTAGGTAACCAATTTCCTTTGGTATGTCAATTAAGTCATTTTCTCGTAAAACTAACTGAAATAATAAAATTACATCTTCAAAGTATATATTTTCTCTTGTTAATAGAGGAGTATTCATAATTCCATAAATCCTTAAGGCTACGGCTACATTAGATTTGTTTCCGATCCAATCTAACTAGTCTGGATAAAAACAAACCCATGTATATTATCGGTAGTGGCCATATTTAATACATTGTTATAATCAGTGAAGTATAATAAACATTATACAATATACATACAATTTAAACATTTATATTATATACTACATATTTATTTAATTAATTTTTAAAATTATTATACAAGGTACAATAGTGGTATTGGTCAATATTTATTGGAAAACAGAAATACAATACATAGTTACCTATTCTATAACAAAGCTTTTATTGCTATTTAAATACTTTATTTTTATTGTATTTTGGGTTGTCGGATATTTATCTGACGTGCCGTTTCCAACATACCAATTATTTGGTTATGTCAAAGAGAAACAAATCAATTTAATTTTCTTTAGATGTCGGACAAAATTAGATTATTTTGGTTCAAAATTAATCAATAAATTATCAATATTATAAACATTTTTCAATTTAATATGTGACAACTGAACGTGTGTTTAATGAAATAGTTGAATATACTGCAGTTGAAGTTTATAAAGTTTAAATAGGTTGGTAAATTTAAATTAAAAATGGAATTCGATAAAGAACATTCAATTAAAGTTAAGTTAAAACTAGAATTATGGGATAAAGGATTGGCTCAATACCAAAACTTAAAACATAAAGAATGGTAAGATGTCAATTATGATGTCTTATTCTCTAAATTTATATTCCCGTTATTATTAACATTATGTACATAAAATTCTCCATTTTTACAATCCTTTAATAAATCATGCATCCAACAAGACCTTAGATTATTTAAATATAATATATTATTATTTAGTAAATTATTCGATTCGTTTACTGAGCTGCTAGAACTTGAAAACAAATTGAATAAAAAAGCCAAAAAGCACCAATACACATGTGAACTCTAAGATCTGGTACATTCTAATAAATAATTGTTTCAGTAGATTATGATATAAACATTTGGTACAAAATCATATATGATGTAGTCAATAGTAGCCAAGTAGCCATAGCCTAACCCACCAAAAGGAAAACTATATTAATAATATCCTGATAATTAAATGTTTTTAAATATAATTCATATTTTAGAAACTATTTACACATTAGTAAGTATAAAAAACTAGTTATCAAAATAATGTTTTACAATTTTCGTGGCAATAATTAATTTTCTATCTAAAACAGTATCAGTTAGTGTAATAGGTAGAGTAAATTAAGTCCTCTATTTATACTGGTCTCTCTAATTTAGTTTTAAATTTTTTTTTTTTCTTTAAGTAGTTTTAATGTATCGTTTATTGATTTATTTCCATAATTAAATAATTAAAAATAGTGTATAAATATACACTATTTTTTTATAATAATTCTTTATTTACTTACAATCTGAAGGTTTTTCAATTGACCAATCTCTGGTAATATGGTTTCAAAATCATTATCGCCCAAATATAATGCTCTTAGTGTTTCTGAAGAATAAAGGTAAAAAAAATGTAATTTATTAGTATAAAAATGTTCTAAATTTCTCAAATATTTTATAATTACCTAACATAAAAAAATTTCCTGGCAAACTGGCTTCATTTAAATTGTTATAAGTTAAATCTAAAACTTCAAGAACAGCAAATGCTCCAAAACCTCTTGGTAATGAGTTCAAACGATTCATTCTAAGTATTTGTAAACAATTTCAATTGTATGCTATACTTTTAATTTATAAAATATTAATATGAACTAACCCAACGTTTAAGATACGCAATTTTGGCATCGAAGATAATGAAACAGGCAATTCTTCAATATGATTGTTAAATAAATTTAACATTTCTAATTGTGTTAAATTTGCAATTCCAGGAGGTACTTCTGAAAATTGTTAAAAGATAATTTACATTTAGATTACACATTTTAATTTGGATTAATTAATGTTAATAATTATATGATTATAAATATTTTATCAATAGTACTAGATAAATAAAAATAATACATACTTTGTATTTTATTATGACTCAGTGTGATTCGAGTAATGTTATGCATATCAACTAGAATCAAACAAAATTAGATTAATTAAAAAAATGAAAACAGTCAAGTAATAGGTAGGTACCTACAATATAAAAATGTAAATTAAATGACTGTGTACTATTTTTATTCCTATTAATTCTACCATTTGATTAATAAAATAATTATAAGTAAAATATATTTATATTTATTCTTTTTCCTGTAACTATACATTATATTAATTATTATAAAAATCAAACTAATCAATTTAATATTTATTTTATACAACAAAATAAAAATACTAAATTTAATGATTGAAATATTAGGTAAAAACTCTAATAGGTAACTTAAATTTACCTAAATTTGAGTTCCTAACATTTTATCCACAATATTGTTCCTTTTATAGTTCACCTTGTTAATAAGCTAGACTGCTAGGAGTTATAGGTCTTGTAAACAAAAACCCCTCTTATACTTTTGGTCAAACAATTCATTTTTAATATTTATAATTCTAAATTATTACTGTTATATTTTCCTCACATATACCTATAAACATATGCCTGTATTATGTAAAAAAATAACATAAATTAGTTATTTTTCAAAACTTATATTCATTATTATTATTATTTTTTTATTAAAAAATAAAATCCAAAATCTATACAATTTGAATAATAAGTAGGTTAGATAAATGAAAATAAAATAAAATAACAATAAATCGTAAGATTAGGGAGATTATCCACTGATGGTAAAACCCCGTAAGTATATTACATGATTGCTTGCCAAAGAAGAAGGTCTGAAAAAGGTAGGGACACCATTTTATTTTGAGACTGTGATGCGTGTTATCGGAAAGTGTGTTAGCTGATAATTTAGTGATTAGTGGATTTATATGTGATTGGAGTTTACCGTGAAATCTAGTTAAAATTCTTCTGAGATCTTTGTGGAGATTGGTCTTGGTATATTTTCAAAATTAGTATCTACTTAGGTGCTTTTATTCCAAATTAGATGTTCAATATGTATCAAATATGATAAATACCTACATAAATTAATACTAGTTGTTTGTATTAATATTATCCAAAATTAGATACCTTTTAAAACTATTATAGTGAAAAAGTTTCAATACCAAGTCAATTTAATTATAATTTAGATACTTGTATTTTTGATAATGAAAGAGAATGATTATGATTATTATTTAATGTTGTATGAGCTATTAAATGCAAGTATTTACTCTTGCATTAGCAAGCCCATCAGAAAAATGTTGATATCCTGGTGAGCCTATCTGCCCCTGCTTGTATTGTACAATGCCTATTGTGATTTGCCTATACTGATCTGCATAGAAATTATTTTTTTAACTAATTAATAATTAGGCAAAAATAGGTATGTTTTGTTAAAATTAAAAAATAATAGTAGTTCTTTTTAAGAAGTAGGTATACCTATTGACAATTATATTATATTATTAAGATTTACATAACACAAAAAAATATAAACATCAAAATACATTAGTATTAAGTATTAATTAATTCCATTTTATTAAAATGATCAAAGATATCTTATATGTTTGAATTTACATAAAAGTAACCTTTTCACAATTTATCAAAAAATAAATTATGAAATAGATATTATACATTTTGAAAAATTTAGTATAGTTTTCACTATTTGTATAAAGTGGTTTATTCAGTATTTATTATTATAATGAAATAAATGAATTTTGTTTTATAAAAAAGTAACAAATTTGGGAAGCATTGTAAGTACTTAATGATAGGGTGATGCCCTTATAAGGTAAATGTAAATAAGAAACAAGTTTCCATAAAAGGAAATGTTTAAATTTAGTACACTTACTGAGCCCTGGCATTTCCTCAAACGAGATTACCCCTTTATCGGCCAAATCCAGCTCTGGATTTTGATTTTCCAGAGCTTCTTCGATCACTTTTTTAGCTTTAGACATTTTCGGAGTTGTTGGTAAACAAGAAACTGGTCCATTTTCCATGGTTGACGGGGAGTAGTACACACGTAAAAACAAAATTAAAAAACTGATAATATTATCAAAACATATTATTGACAGTATGACCATTTTCAAATACAAGGAATATAACGTATAAAAAATATATTGTATAATTTCATTTAGTTACGATGTATCATAATTGCATACTTAAAGCGCCGTTACAAAACAATTGTTTTTTTAGAATCTACGTAAGTTGCAAATCTAAAAAACCGATTAATAACATAATAATTAATATGATTCGTTTTCATACAAAATCAAATGCCTAATAATATGCTTAGATATAGGTAAAAAGAATATCGACTTCATAAGAATTAAAATGCTTATTGTAGAGATGAATAATCGATACCTAAATGCTTTTGAATCATAGTGAATAACATCGAGCTATACAATATAATATATGTAATAACCGTATTTGTGTCACTCAAATTTAGATAGATACCTAACGCAGAAATACGTATTCGCAATAATATCTCGAATTTAGTTAAATTTATTTAAAAAAAAAAAACCATTGTATCTACTTAATAAAATAGAAACAAATGTATGGATACTACTGTTGAATGTGACAACACAATATATCAATTTTATTTCAAGAATTTATAATATTAATGAAATTAATAATCACGGCGTATATTAGGAAAAGTTTTATTTAGTATAATGCATAATGTATGTTTGGTTAGTCCGTGAGATAGGGGTGTTTTATATTTTATAATGGTTTTTGATTGGCCGCAACGCATTATGGTTAACCAATCAGAGACGACCGGGGTCCGCTTAAAGCTCTGCGCGGAAACGCATGCGCGGTAGCAACTGGTTTGAATTGACAGACCTCTGTCGGTGAAAAATATTATTCAGTTCGTCACCGAGTGGCAAGGTGCTTGGTTCGATTTTAAACGTTCGTAGTTTTAATTATTTCTTTGCCGATTTTTATTTTCTCGTTTATACAGTTTCATCATTGATTCAACAAACTTTTGCTGTTCAAGTCCTTAAACACTTTTAAAAAAAAATCATGTCTACTTTCAGAAGAGTAAGATAATTTTTAATTTTATTTTTTTTTAAACGTAGATTAACTATTTTCTCATTAGTAGATTTAATAAATATATCTATATTTTTTTTAACATAAATGAACTATTTTTCGCCTTGTAAATTTAATAAATATATATTTTTTATTTTATTTCTAGTTATAATCTTATTGTTTTTTTTTTTCAAGGGATCATTTCTTCAAAATCAAGATATTCCAGAAGTAACTTCTCCCTCCGCTATGGGTCAGGATATAGGCACCAGAGATTTCAGTAGTTTCTTTTCTTCGCCTGATTTAAGCTTGAGTCCAACAAGAACTTCTTCTGGTAAGTACTTTTTAAATTTATTTTAATTTTTAGAAAATATCAGTAATTTATATTATATAATGTTTGTTATTATATTTTATTAGGTGATTCTCCTATTTCTACAGATTTTTTTTCTTTAAATAAACCGCGAAGCTCAATGATAGGTCGTCAATCTGTTCCTAATTATTCTTCACAACTAAGGCAATACGCAGCTCAGGTAAGTTATTATTTAATCTATATTCTATGGCAAAATATTTTTCTTTAATTGAATTGTAGTTTCTATGTAATTTAATTAAATTTTTTAGTATTTCTCTATACTTTTATTTTTTTTTTTTTTTTTTTTTTTGTTACGAAAGTTATTTTTAGTTTATTAATTGTAACTAATGAAACTTTCTTTTAGGAACAATTAACCAATTTAAGACGTAATTCTCTTCATTTGCCATATATTGCGGATCGAAGTACTACAAATATGTCTGATTTTGGAAATGTCAGCCAAACAGAAAATTGCGGTAGTGATATTAGAAATAAAAATATGCAACGACCTAAATTGGATCTATCTTTTGCATCTTACGGGTATCCGATTCCGCAACAACAATATCGTGGATCTCCTACTTACAGTGATGGTAGTGATCCATTAATTTCCCATCTCATGATGGGTTCTAGGTCTAATACTCCAGACGATTCGGATATGTCCAATAGCCCGGAAACCGTAGCTGATCTGATTGTAAGTGTTATAACCGCTGTATTTTATATTCTTAGTTATATTAATTTTATTATTAGAACCACGTCAATATCAATCCATACGGTTCGTCTCCTTTAACTGAACAAGACTTGGCAAATATGCAACGCATATCGAGTGGGAGATTGTCTGCTGGTGAAAATATTCATCATCAGACCCAAAATTTATTAAGTTCTTTATTGGCCCAGCAAAGTCAATATCCCACCCGATATGGGTCGCCAGCTACTGGTCAGTCACCAGTTTATGAAAAAAAGTCTCCTCCTCCATTTTGGTCACCTACAAGATCGACTAATGACAACAATAACAATCAAAATGAAAATCGAAATTTAAACCGCAATATTTACAGTAAATATATTTTTTTAAATCCAGTTAAAAGGTACGAATTAATCCCCCCCCCCTTTTTTTAGGTGGATTACATAAAGATCCGATATTTACGTGGAGTGGACTCCTTCCTAAAATCGTTCATAGTTCTCCGAATTATTCATGCAAAGTTTTTTTGGGAGGTGTGCCATGGGACATTACTGAAGATGGAATTATAATGGCATTGAGTCAATTTGGATCTGTTAAAATTGAATGGCCAGGTACATCAACCAATATGAATCAGCCAAAAGGGTATGTCTATGCTATTATGCAATCCGATCAAATGGTGAAACAATTGTTAGAATCGTGTACAAAAGGATCAAATGGCGGAAACTATTATTTTAAAATATCATCTCGAAAAATGAAGGGCAAAGAAGTACAAGTAATTCCGTGGTTAATAAATGACAGTAATTGCGTCAAACACCCATCCCAGAAGTTGGATCCCACTCGGACTGTTTTTGTGGGTGCTTTGCATGGAATGATGAATGCACAAGGATTATTTAAAATTATGGACGACTTATTTGGCAATGTATCTTATGCAGGTAAGTACACAAATTATTAAATTCTATACTTATATTAATATTTATATATATATATTTTTTTATTAGGGATTGATACTGACAAGTATAAATATCCAATTGGATCTGGTAGAGTTACATTTGCAACTTATCAATCTTACACAAAAGCTGTAGCTGCTTCATTTATCGAAGTCAAAACACCAAAATTTTGTAAAAAAGTGAGTTAGTTTTAGACATTTCTTTTGGTGAAATATTAATGTTATATTTGTCATAGATTCAAGTTGATCCTTACTTGGAAGATAGTGCTTGTAGTGTTTGCAACATAACACTTGGACCTTATTTCTGCAGAGATCAATTATGTTACCGTTACTATTGCCGTGGATGTTGGAATTGGAAACACATAACTCCCCCATTCAGTACTCATCGTCCATTAATGAGAAATTCTAAACATACTCCAACAAGTTTGAGCTCGCCACCAAGATTTACATCTCCAAGCAGTTTTTCACCTACGCTCAACCAGTAAGTTTACAAATAAAATATGTAATTATTATTTTATTAATTTAATATTATTTTTTTAGATCTGATGTGGAGTAATGTTTGAATGTTGAATATGAAGACTGACCTTTATTTTTTTTTTAATTTGTTATTTTGAAAAATTATTAAGTACAAGAGTACAATTTTGTTTAATATTTATATAATTAGATTCTATATATTTTTTTCTTCCTTTTCTGATTAAAAATTATTAACAATTACTGAGGATTTCATTAATTTGGTCTTTTTTTTTTAAATGTTTCAATTACTATCAAAGAAATTTGTATTTCATTACAAAAGTTAAATTTTGCACGTTATATTTATCTTTTATGTTTTCTTTCTTAACTTGTTTTGTGAAATATATAAATTATTTTTTGGTATAAAAGCCTTGTTTTTTTTCAGTACTTTTTTCTTTCTTACACTAAATTCAAATAGAATATTTAAATAAAATATGTAGTTTACACCACAAAAAAAAAATTTAAATTATTATACTGTTACATTATTTGTCTGTTGATTTTTTTGTGAAAAATAAAATTTTTTTACGATAACTGAATGTTTTTTTTCTGTCCTGTTCTTTCTTTCTCATTCATTATTTTATTGAATACAATTTATATATTATGTACCTTCAAAAAAATATAAAATGAAAATATTCCAAACTACCATATTTGTAAATAGTAAATGGTTTATACCAACTTTCAAATGGTGTATTATAGTCTTTAATATTTGGTCTAAGGTATTATTTATGTGAAATTTAAAGCTGTATGTACTCATCGCTACAATAAGAAGTGTACAGACATATTAACAATTAATTTGACTCATGTTAAAATCATGAACAAATTGACATTAATAGCGTGATTTCTTGTAAAATTTGCCAGTAAAAAAAATTAAGTAGGTACCTTTAAATATATTCACTATGACTATTGGTGAATGTTAAAAAGCATTTGAAAATAATGATTGAAATATAGGACTGTTATTTTTTCAAAAAATTTGCTTATTATGCAAAAATTATTATTATAATTGTTTTGATATTAAAATGTTTATTTTATTTTAAATGAAAAAAAAAGAAATACAAGACCAAAATAAAAACTAAATCATAAATATTTTATCATTTTGAGTATTTATAGAACAGTTTAATCAAGATACCTATTTAAATAGAACAATAAAATAGAAAAAAAAAATATTTATATATTTTCAATAATAAAATGTATGTACATAAACTTGATATCAATTTTTAGAACATTTCAACTAAAATATTTTTATGATGCTGGTTTATATAAAGGAAATAATTAATTTTTATATTACAACAATATAATACAATTATATTTGAACTAGTTTATAGTTAATAGCAGTCCAAAAAGTATTCCCCCAATCACATAGGATTAGCTAACACATTTTCGATGATTTGAATTCTAATTATTTTAATATTAAAATTTATACTGGGTAAAGTTATAAGTTATAAGCTATAAGTTTGTAGATAAATTCTAGACTAAAATTGTTTAATATTTTTATTTTTAAATATTAAGTAGGTAATTGGTCTAGAATTTAATTACTATTTACTTTTAGCTAACAACACCATGCACAATATTATACCAAAAATACAAAATAAGTTCCGAGGAATATTTTTTAGATAGGCTCAACTTAAAGCAGTACCATTTTAATTTAAATTAAATAATTACATTATTCTTAACTAAATAAATATGATTATAATAATATGATAATATTTATAAATTATTAAATGTATCTTAAATAGGTAAGGTAAAAACACTTAAAATCTTTTGTTATAGAAATTATGTATTTGATAACATTTAAAAATCTTTATATAGAATTATATTTAATATTTGTCTAATATAATTATGATTGTTGTATTATGAAAATAATTTCCATATTGTTCAACTATGAACATCTATAATTTAAAAGTAATTTTTTTTTTTAAAATAAATTTGCTTTTAATATAAAATATTTTGGTCTTTACAATATTTTTCCTATGCGATATTCAATGATGCTAACAAAATTATTAATACTATTATTTAAAACTTAAAACTATCAGAATTTTCAGACATTTGAGTCGATAGATCCATACTACAACCTGAATTATTTTCTACAGTTGAACTAGAATCAATAACCATTGCAGAGCTGTCGTCTTCAATAGCACTACTGGAATCTTCAGTTTTTTTCCGCAATCTTCTATTCCAAAGTCTAAACTTAGGATTTCTGAATGGTAATATTGCATCATTATCATCGTTCATTTTTAATACTCTATCTCGTTTTATTAAACTTTTGCTTTCATCACCCTCAATAGGTTCACCTTCTTCATCTAAATAATCACAAAAATCTGGTGGATCTTCAATACACATTTCTAAAACGCATGTCAACATGGTACTACTGAACGTGTCTTCTCGCTTTTGGCCCAAAGCTTTATGAAATGTATCTACAGCATCTGTAAAATTTCTACTGAGTGACTGAACAAACCCAATACATGTTAAAGTAGAAGTATTCATTGGAGATATAACTAAAGCCTAAAACAAAATATAGTATGAACTAAAATTTTTAAATTGGTTTTATATATAAATTACTTGTTTGTGATAGTCTAATGCCTTTTCATAGTTCTGTAGCTTTCGATAGACATGACCCAAATTGTTATACAATGATTCCCATTTATTGGCTATTATTGGTTGTTTTATTTGTTTTATTCTTTCAAGTGCTTCAAGAAATCTGGATTCAGCTTCTTTATATCTAAAATACAAAAAAAAAAAAAAAAAAAAAATATGTAATTCTATTATTAAACTTAAAAATAAATAATAAAATAATAAGTATAAGTGTCATGAACATAAGCAGAATACAATTTTAATTGTTTTATTCAAACTTAAATAAACCAAAACCAAATAACATTATATCTTCTACATTATAAATTTATTATAAATATTGAAAACATTCATGTTTCTGTTCCATTGTGTCAAACTGTAATCAATATATGCAATTTTAAATAGTTTATGTTTTTTGAGCTAACATTATATACTATATTATGGCATATAAAAGTACATTTGTAATTGTAATGATTAATAAAATAAAGATCAAACTTATGAAGCCTGCAAATGTGAACAAATTAATATCTTTAATTAAATAATTCAAATTATGCCTCTTTTTTTGTTTTGCGAATTGATAATTGTATCTATTGTTGTAAACTCCAAAAATAATTGTAAATAAACTTTATATAAAAATATAAAATTATACTTTAAATTTTTACTATCAAAATATTACTGTTCTAACTTCTTATTTTCTTGTTCCTATATATATTTTTTTTTTCACGTGTCAAGCTACTTTTGTATATAAATGATAGACATAAATAAATAAATATAAAATAAGAGATATATGTATACAATGGTTAATAATTAAATAAAAATAAAATGGTTTTATATTATATTATCACCAAACATACTATCCCATTTAAACTCATTTATTTTTTTATTTTTATCAAATCTGCTTGTCTACCTTAGCATTTTATAATCTATAATCTTTTGTTCGATCTTTCTAGGTATCTACAGTCAAAAATTATGTATCACAGAACATTGTTGGTCTTATACCAATTTTGTAAAATTATTCAATACCCCCAACATCTCTCTCCACTTCATCCAACCACATTTAATTCTACGTTTGACATTTTATTTGCATGAAATTGTTTTATTACATTATCACTACCCATTAACACAAAATGTTAAAAATAATTTTTTTAAATCTAAGATAATAATGTGTGTTATTTATGAATCTAGGAAAAAAACATCAAATACATTTTACTTAAAATAAAAACATTAGTTTTAGGTCAGTTAAAGTTAATAATAAATCAGAAGTATCATATACTATATGCTATAGCTAATAAAAAATGTGGTATATCTCTATTTCCACTTAAATATTCTTCACATCGTGTTTGCTTAAATACTACTGCTATTTAAAAAATAATATATTTAGCCCCCCCCCCCCCAAAAAAAAATAAAAAATAAATCCAGGGCACGCCTTTGGAATATATAGATAGCTACACGACGCAAGTTATTTAATCGAGGATCAAGCCTGCATTTAGAAACTAATATTTGTCATTTTAAAGTAAAATACATTTGACTTTTTTTTTACGGTATCGTTTTTATGCCGATTACCATTGTTTATATTTTAAAATCTAGAGCAGATACTCTAGATTTGAATTATTTGAGATTTATCTTAACTTATTTTATAACAGAAAAATAACATGTTAAAAATATTTGAAGAAAAATCATTAAATAATATTGTCACTGAAGAAAACTAAAATTTAATTAATTTAAAATCTTAATGGATAACAAATAAAAACCAAATATGAAACATACCTATGACTCTGAAAAGCAATGACTCCCAATTCATGTAGAACAAATGGATCATTAGGCGCCATCTCCAAAGCTTCTTTTAAATATTTTTGTGCCATCACAATATTATTTGTCAATGAACATTCTAAACCAATGTATAAAAGAGGCAAATGACAGCTAACAAAAATAAAACACAAACCACAGTTATTGAACTGAACATTATTACATGAATATTTTTATAACAAATTAGATACGGAAAACATAATATTGCTAACCCTTTTAAAAGTTGTGATGCTTTAAAATAAGCTGCCATGGCTTGATCATGCTCATTTTCAACTGCAAATGAATGACCATATGCTAACCAAGCTGGTCCAAATGTGTTATCAAGATTAGTAGCTTTTCCTAGATACCTTCTACTTTGATCTCGTTTTCCTATAGTTTTATAAAATGTATTAAATTTTATCATTACATAAATAATGACATTAAATACTTAAATACCAATTAGATAATAATAGCAGCCAACTGCAAACCATGCAATTGCTTGATCAGGTTGAAGATCTACCAATTTATGGGCCAAATAAAAAAGATCTAAAAGAAAAAAAACCACAAAGACAAATTAAAATATTAGATTTTCACTAAAGCAATGAAACTATTAAGTTTTTAATGATGTGTGTTATTTATTTCAAATGTATTATTATTGATACATATATTATACGAATAATAATACTAATGTATTATTACTAACATTTAATTGGGATAGTCAGTCAAAATGCTTAAAATGTTTCATTTAATAACTTTTTAAATAGCAAATGAAATTCAACTTAACATAAAAAATTCTGACATGTACTGCAATATAAATGGTTTTTAAATGCATAATATGTAGTATTTGAGTCATGTTTATATTAATTTAAAAATAAAGATAGAAAAATATAAATTAAAGAAAAATTTTGAAATTTATTTTGTGTTCATGTTTTATTTTAATGGTTATATTTCTACAAAATAAGACCATAAATTCATATTTCTAAAGTTTATAGAGCATCAATCCCAGACTAAGTTTTGACATTTAGTATGTTAATATGATGGCATTAAAAAGGTTTAAAATTAAGAGGACGCCACACCGACATCTATTATTACCGTTTTACAAACGTGAGACATAGCAAATATGCGTTCAGTAAGATACATTTTGTGTCATTAGTTTATATATATAGAAAATTAACTTAGTACCAAAATTAAAGGTAAGAAGATTATATGTGCTATAGCTTTGATAATTTTTCAATATTTTAATTTTTAAGCAAGATATAATCATTTTTAATTTGTGATATTTAACATACTCATTTCTCATTTAAAAATAAAAATATCGAAAAATCATCAACGATAAAGCACATTAATATTCTTACCTTTAATTTTTGTAATAGGTCAATTTACTTTAATATTAAAACCAACAGCACAAAATATGTCCTGAAAGCAAATTTGTTGTCTCTTGTTTGAAGACAGTAGATGTTGGTGTGGAGTCCTCTTAAAACTTATTCTTATCATTTAAACACTTTAAAACGGTTTAGAAATATCAAACCGTTCCAAAATTAAAACGTTTGCATTAGAATTAGGTAGTTTAAGAAATTAAAATTGTTTCATATATTTAGCGGTTTATCACATGAACATATAAGGAAAAAAGCATTTATATTTGCATAGAAATTAATATGTACAAGACTATAAAATATGTAATGATCAATAGTTATGTGTCCAAACCTTAAAACTCCATTATTAAAAATGGTATAAGTAAAAAAACTTTTGATGAATTTAATATTATCAATATAAACACAAGTAATAAAATAATAAAGTAAAAACAAAATAATTAAATGGTCAATACTCGTAAATAAATGAATGCATCACCTTGAGTATTATATGTGTATTGTACGACCAGTTTCGAATTGAAAATTCATAGTCAAGTAAAATCACAAAGTCACAAAGTTAAAACACGAATGAAAAAAATAAATGAATAATACATTTTAGATAATAAATAATAACCAAATAATTTATCCTATTAAAGTAAATTATTTCTATGTAAAACGACCAATTTGTATAATTTTTTCTCTATGTATTCATTCATTTATTTTTTCATATTCAGTCGCCTTTTTACTTTTTGACTTTGTAATTTTAACTGACAATAAATTTTTAATTTGAAACCAGTCGTACAATACATATATTCTAATACTCCAGGCGACGCATTAATTAATTTACTTATTTATTTATATATTTATAAACACATGGTTTTGTCTTTTGAAATTAGAATAAATATTGAATCAAATTTGTATTTAGGTAAACATAAATTGGATTAATGGAAAAAAATTTGCAATTTGATTAACATCAGAGTTCAACATATAATGCAATCATTAATCGTATTTAGCTTTAAGATTTTTGTATCCTACTTTCTTTAAAAATAAACTACATACCATTTGATTTTTCCAACTCTACCAAACAAGCAATATGTATTGGTAAGCATTCTGGATGATATGGATCTTGTTTTAAAATACTTTCTGTAATTTGAAAACAATCTTTGTATGCACAAGCATAGTAATGTCGTTCAGCTTCAGCCTCTTGTATATCTAGATTATCCATCATTAATTCAACTGGTATATCAAATTGAGAAAATGGACCTGTTAATTTTGGTTCTTGATATTTTTTCAGAAGCACTTCATACAAAGGTTTTGTGATACAATCAGTTGGATAGTTACTCCATGGTAATGACTGAATTAATATTTGCTCTAAAATTAAATTATTTCAGAAAGTATAATACAATTTTAAATTTTAAATCTCAAAAAACCTTCAATTGAAGTTAACATTTGATGTTGTATTAAAGCTTGAAATGCATCATAACAGTGTACATCATTTCTTAATGCTTCCCTATAACAATCTGTTGCAAAATTTCTGTTGTCCAATGCTTCATATATTTTTCCTTTTATACAAAATAGTGCACTTTGAACCTGAAAAAAAAACATTTATACCTGTTATCTATACTAATTTGTATTATTATTAAAAACACAATTGTGTATAAGTACATACATTAAAATAAGTTAAACAATCATGAGACTTGATATCTTGTTGTTGAAGTGATACATTACAAGATGTTGGATTTATTTCGGAACTAATTATATTTGCTGCTTCTGTGTAGTCTTTTGCTTCTACTAAACATCTTAACACCATGTAGTAGCACAGCATATCAGTCTATATATAAAAAAAAATATTATTATTGGAAGTTAAAATAATTTTTAATATTTTTGTATATTTCTAACATTGTTAAATTGATAAATTCTTTTATTTTTTAAATTAGCCAATAAAAATTAATTAAATTTTTTAAAACAATAAAAAATAAAAATAAAACAGAAATTGAATTTAAATTAGGTAGATCATTGAATTGAATAGGTTATTTGAAAAAGGGAACATCCCCAGAAATTTAAATTTTACAGGAGATAAAAACCATAACCATATCTGGGAGATGTTTCCTTTTCGAAATAAACAAAATAAAAGTGCATATATTGTTAGTTGTTACTATATGAACATGTCAATATTTTGTTTTCACATTAAATATTAAGTTTAGATACAAATAATAAATTTCTGTAAAAATTTGAAAATATCTAACTATTGGACATGTTCCCTTTTCAAAATAACCCATTCAATTAAATCATGCACTGTAATAGGGATCCTTTATTATAAAAATTAATTGATTATTTTCAGTTTTAAGCCTCTAATTAGAAACACGAGAAAGAAATCATAATAGTATATTATAATATTATTCCTACTTAAAAATATATATATATCTATGTTTCAATTAAAAGGTTTTACCTTATCCAGCCCTTTGTTTTTTATTAATACAACCGCTCTTTGATATTGCTTCAATAAGAACATGCAACTAGCCAGTTGATAAACGTCTCTAGGATCAAAATGACTTAATGTAGCTGCTTTATCAGACCAAAATAAAGCAGCTGAGAATAGTTGCTAAAAAGTTCATCAATATGTTGTGAGTTCAAATACAATTGTATAAACATACTATTTCAAATTATTAATTACCAAATCAAGGTGTGTGCGAACAAGACTTCTGCATTTTTCAAGTTGAGGATTATTACTCTGCTTCATATTATATTTTTTAATAATTAACTCAATATTTAATTTTACAAATGTGTACCAATTTTTTAAATATAAAAATTAGTTTGATACAATAGTTAAAATTTGTAATGAAGAAGAAACTTTAAAAATCAAAAACAAACTGCATTAATTTATCATTTAAAAATTATTATCATTATAACCAGGCTGACAATATTGCCGATGTAAATACGGTACATAATAATATGTGATATCTTCGACAACACTGCGTACATTATTTAATTACACAAATTATCACTCAAACTAGTCAAACTGTTAAAATTTATTCTTAAAAATAATTTGTTGTCTTTTGTTAACAATTTTACTTTAATTCTAGATTAGTCTTCAATAATTAAATTTAAAACATGTTTAAATTTACCAATTGTGTATTGTTTAATACTGTTGTATATTAAATGGAATGTAATCTAAAAATGTCTATACAGGAATTTAAAATATTGGACACGTATAATTTTTCCCAAATTTTATGTTGCAAAATATAATTTTAATTCAGTCTAAAATTATTTCGAAATGGTGAGCGACCTTAGTAACTAATAATAGATTTGTAATTCATATAAGGACATTTGAACGATTTTATTCCCCTCTTTATATGAATTGTTTTGCTTGTTTATATATGTAATTTACTGTTTGTGTTAACTTTTTATTATTATTATATTGTGTAGTATTAAGTTTGTTTAATTTTAATTTTCAGAACAAATTAAAATCAACACAAAAGGATAAAGTGAAAAGATTTATGGCGTTTACACAAGCACCTGAAAGTGTCGCTATTTTTTGTTTAGCCAAAAATGACTGGAAATTGGAACAAGCATCCGATAACTTTTTTCAAAATCCACTTGAATATGAGACTATTAAGATCAACTCCCAGTTAGGCTATAATGTAGATAAAAGAAAACTTGAAGCAATGTATGCTAGATATCGAGGTAGATTGTATTTTATTTAATCATATATTCATACACGTGCATATTTTTCTTTTTTAGAGTTTTGATTCATTAAAAAGGTTTGCAAAATAATTAGGATTTAGAAAAATAATTAAATAAAAGAGAAGAAAAAAAATTAATAATAATATTAAAAATAAATAAGAACTGAGAAACAACAAGAATTTAAGGGTATAAGAATGACAGACGAGGTATAAATATAGGTAAAGTAAGAGAAACAATGAATAAATATAAAGGATATAAGAAAGATTACAGTTTATTATTATGAAGTGCAAAAAAAAAAAACATTGCTTACCCTACATTTATCTAAATTGTTTAAATTTCAAATATTTGTGTGTGAGAACATTTAATTAATTATAATTAGTATAAATGCCTTCTACTTTTATACATATTTTTTGTTTAATTTGTTTATCATTTTAATTATAAATAAGTATAAATTTAATATTTAGTTATGTTTCTTACATTAATTTAACTAAAAATAATTTATATTTTGTTTTAGACCCATCTGACTTAAACAAAATTAATGCTGAAGGTGTTATGCGTTTACTAGATGAACTTAAATTACCTCCAGACTCTATATTAGTGCTCATCTTAGCTTGGAAATGTCAAGCAGCAGCTCAATGTGAATTCACAAAGCAAGAATTTTTAAATGGCATGGCTAAAATGGGGTGGGTAATTTTCATTTTATGTTTACATATTTTACCAAATTTAGGTACACTTATAAATTATTAGTTATTACTAATTATAAGGCTAATTATCTAATCATGAATTGTGCCTAGTTTAAATTTTAAAAAAAAATTTATTTTTTACCTAAATATTATGACTTGTAACTGGAAGCCAATCAAAAATTATGTGGTCATTTTTCATCAAAATATATTAAAAGGTTAATTTTTTTGATTTTTCATTGATTCCACAAAAAAAAATGTTATTATTTGTTACAGGCAAAAAATGTCAATAAAAAGTTGTATTGATATTTCAAAGATTTTTTTTTTTATTTCTCTGCTTCAGAGGCTGTTTAGGCCCATTGCTGCATTACACATTTCCTTCTATATATCACTATCCAGTGCTACCTCTCTATATTTTTCGTTTCCTAGTATTATTAGATCCTTTGCGACCTTATCATACCATTGTTGTTTAGGTCTGCCCAAGGATCTTTTTCCTCGTGATTTCCAATTCAGGACTTTTTTTGCAACCGTGTTAAACCTTAGTATGTGACCTAGCCAGCTTAGTCTTTTAGCTCCAATTACCCCAATTATATTTGGTTTCCCAAAGGTGTTATTTATTTCTTCATTTCATCTTATTTCATATCTTTGTGTTAAACTATTTATTTTCAGTCCATACATCTTCCTAAGAAATTTTCTTTTTACTATTGCTAATTTTCTCTCATCCTCTAAGGTTGTTGGTCATGTTTCACATGTATGTGTTATGATAGGTCTTGCTATTACTTTGTTAAGTCTCATTTTTGATTTCTTCGATAATAACTTGAGTGCAAACAGTTAGATAACGCATGTAAACACCCATTTCCTACTAAAACACGTTGCTAAATTTCTTCATGATTGTTATGTTAGCTATTCAGTTCTGTACCTAGACACCTAAAACTATGTATTTTTCAAATTTTTTTTTTGTCTAATCCGTCTATTCCTTGTCTGATGAATTTGTAGTTGCTCTCCTGTTATGCACGTATATTTGATTTTGTTTCATTTATTTTAAATCCTTTTGTCTTTGCGCTTCGTATTAATTCTTCCATTGCTAGTTTTATGTATCGTCTTCAGATTCTTCAAGTATCAAAATATCATTGGCATACGTTAGTATTTCTGATGTCAATTCCTTTATATTTGGTATGTATACTTTGAACTACCACCTCCAAAGCTATATTAAAGTAAGAGTATAGGAGATAGTGCATCTCTTTGTTTTAGTCCAACTATGGTTTTAAACTTCCTAATGTGCTTGTCCGAATCGAACTTTAACATCTTGCTGTTTTTATACATATTCTGATTATTGCTCTTAACTTGACTGATATACCAAACAGTTCTAAATGTTACCATAAGAATTCTCTTTTAACCTGAGTCGTATGATTGTCTAAAATTTACAAATAGTAGATGTAGTTTTTTATTGAATTCTTAATATTTCTCTATCAGTTGCTGTGAAGTGTGAATATATGATCAATTTTTGATCTTCCCACTAGGAAACTACTTTAGTAGTGTCCTATGATATCTACTGCATATGGTTTTAGGCGGTTGAAAATTTAAATGATTATAGAAATTAAATATTTATTAGATTTTAAAATTCTAATGCACTCTAAATTTGAATATATCTAATACTAGTAAAATATTATTATCACTCTTTGAAAGAAAGACACTAGATTATGTAAATTGTATAGGGATGTAGGTGCAATAAAGTATGTTCATAATCAAACTAATAACTAATAAAACTAATATTAAACATTTCTTTTTAATTTTGGGCATATTTTTCAAAGTGTTCAGTACCATATTATTAAGTATAATATATAACACCTGTATATTGAAAGTAAACAATTTGCTTTAAAACAATACACATGTATTATTTTAGGAAATAAAATAAATAAATATATTAGATTATTATTATTTACTAATTCATTGTAATATAAAAATGAATTATTATATAGTTCTAGTTATATATATTCAGACACTATACTTAGTTCTATGTGAGACTTAGTTACACTTTCAATGAAAACCAGTTCACTAATGTAATGTCTCCACTGAATTTAACCAGTATGACGAGATTATATAATTAGTGCAACCACAATGAGCACATGCTATACAGTTTTGATGTAGTGTCTTGTAAAACATAACCTAACCTGTAAAATATAGTTTTGGTATCATATAAATGTCTAATCTTAAGGTTGGCTTAAGTTAGTTTCACCCAAGTTCACTATTTTTAATTCTGCAACAAGTAGGGTTAAAGGGTGAAGGAGCCATAAGAGTGATGTCCTCCAAATCTTAAAAAAAAAAGGCTATAAGACTAGGTATAAATGTATTATATGCATATTACTATATACACAGTATTTATTTTTTTATAAAATGGATATATCTTTGGGGGACAGTCTGAATACAAATTTTAGTAATTGCATACTTTGTTTTGTATATTTACAGTCTACTCGCAATATAACAAATTTCAAGGAACCGAAAAAAAAGTTTGTTACATTGAGATTTATAAAAAAAATTCAAAATTTAAATCAACACACTACAAATACATATTAATTTTCATTTAATTATACATACATATATATAGTAGTACAGTAAAAATATATTTAAGTATAAAAATTAATTGTATATACAACAAAACTTAACTAAAACGATAATGTAAAGGTTACAATAAAGTTGTAGATTCATTATACATTTATCGACATGAATTATATCTTATCATACGATAAACAAACTTTGTAGTAATAAACAATAAAAGCAATTTATTTTTATTTTATATTTTTCGCAATCATTATATACCAGCAGACTTTTATCTTATATACATTTGTATTAATACAAATTAAAAATATTTAATATTAAACTCCAACATTGTATACATTTGTTACATCATGAGAGCTTTAGCAAAAATAACTTTAATATCGAGGAGACAAAAATTCTTTTAATTTTTTTGTTATATCACGAGATTTTCTAAGGACCGACAGTTTTATTCGTTGTATCAAGATTTTTGTTACATCGAGCTTCGTTGTATCACGAGCAGCGCTTGATTTAAATAAAAACTAAAAGGGGGATTGAGTGGATGTTGGATGAACAAGTTTTTCAGATAAAATTAACACTCTCATAACTGTGGAGGCTTTACCCCCACATCCCTCTCCAGCCACCTATCACACCAGAACAATATTACATTTTTTCTAGAAGTATATTATGTATATAAAAAAAAATTATTTATAAACTATTTTTTTAAAAACATAAAATTAGTCAATTATTAGTAAACTATACATTAAATAAGCTTCATAAATGTTGATATGAACTATCTTCGTTTTGGAGAGATTTTTTGGGACAGTTTACTTCATCTGCGTTTCTTTTACCACTTTTAATCCAGTTCTGAACATAATGATCTAGTTTGAATAACTGAACAGAAGATCCGATACAACAGTTGAGAAAAACCAATGAAGATATATGCTCTGTAATCAAAACATTTCTTTTTATTGTAACTATATTGTTCATTTCACTGAATGATCTCTCAAATTCAAAGGAGGAAATTTTAATTATTTTGACTGCAGTTAAAATAGGATGTAGATAGTTTATTTTTGAGAAAGCCTTTGTATCTTTAAATCCATGGAATCCTTGAATTGTAGTATTTTCATCTAAATGAAATCTTGTAACTAATTTTCTAACTCAGTTATTGCTATACTAAATATCAACATTATCAGGCCAATAAGTAGAATTTAGTACATACAAATCTTTTACAATTTTATCAAATTGATTTCAGATTCAGTTCTGTTTCAAAAAAATTAAAAGGGTACTCTAAAAAATAGAGGAAAAAAGTGGTATCCCCCTACGTTTCCCTTCCAAATCAAGCAATGGTCATGAGTTGACTGTATTTAAAAATCATAAACAACTGAAATAAAATATTGATTATAAGATGTTTTTCTAACTGATCAATATAGTCCTGGATATTAATTTTTTAATACCTAAATAAACTATTTTTATGATAGTACTTTGATAACAATAAGAATACTTATTTGCCATGTTATTTGTGAAAATATTTAATTTTGTCATCACTACAATGTGGTAGCTGTAAATGAATGTGAATGCCAAAAATAATGTTAAAAGAGAGTTGTTATGATGATAATTATTATTGAATTATTAAACAATTCGTATTTGAAGAAATTGACAAACATCCCCCTTTGCCCCCCTTTAATATGTAATTAGTAAAAATGTAATATTTCAAAAATGAAAAACTCTTAGTGAGTGTAAGTATATTTATGTTAATCAAATATAAGTAGTATATGGTGTCTTATTTTAATATTTTTTTTTTATAACTTCATATTGTATGTTATATTGAAAATTTATTTTTTACTTTTTATTTTAGGTCTGATTCAATAGAAAAATTAAAAATTCGATTACCAATTTTAGAAAGAGAACTTTCAGATCCATCAAAATTTAAAGATTTTTACTATTTTACATTCAATTATGCTAAAAATATAGGTCAAAAAGGTCTTGACCTTGATATGGCTATAACTTATTGGAATATTATTTTTGTTGGTCGATTCAGGTTCCTTGACCTATGGTGCCAGTTTTTAAGAGTAAGTTCAGTGAATCAAAATAAATTATTTAACAACACATAATTGTATGCCTAATCTATTTTTTTCAATTGGTTTTATTTTCAATAAGATTTTAACTTAAAATTAAAAATTATGTATTATATGTATATTTACTGATCTTGTTTAATAATGTAAAATATAATACCCTCTAATTATATTTTACATTGAAAGCCTTTCATAAAAGATACCCCTGAAAAATAAATATGATGTGTCCAATATTGAGATGCATTTCTGAAATATATAATTCTAACTAATTTTAAATTGTCTGCTATTTAGAGTGAGTTCATGAAAAGAGGTTGCTTTGTGTTTTAATTTTATTGTTTACTAAATACAAGTTATTATTATATTTTATGGTTATTGTTTATTTATATATATACATATATGTATAAATTAACTAAATTTATAGGAACACCACAATAAATCAATTCCTAGAGATACTTGGAATCTCTTATTAGAATTTGCTTGTGTCATTGATGATGAAATGACAGATTACGACCAAGAAGGAGCATGGCCAGTTCTAATAGATGAGTTTGTGGAATGGGCAAAACCTATAGTCTGCAGAAATAATTCAACTCATATATGTGAGACCTGATTATTGTAAAAATAAATAAAATATTATCAGATACATATGTTTATAAATTATATTTTAAAAATGTTTATCCTGTTTTAAATTTTTTTGAGGGAGAATAATGTATGACTGCCTTACTAAAATATGTACCTTGGGAATATTTATAAAACAAATGTTATTTAATTTGTATAGCTTAAATTGTATTAACATTATAATATTCTTCATCATGTAAAAAATGTTCTTGTTTGATGCCGTGTTATTAAAGCTAATCAGGTCGAGTATTTAGGTCTCAGTTTATATTTTCCATCGTAATTGTTGCTATAGATAATACCATTGATAATAATTAATAAACAATTTATAATCAATGATAATAATAAATTGTTCTGTATTCATGTATATATATATATATATATATTTTAAATATAATTTTGGTCCTGGCATATATGTATAACAATAAAAACTTGAATGTACATTTATATTTATAATATTTAATGTCTATTTGTCCATTATTTTAAAGGTCCCAGATTATTCTTTATCTTTACACATATAAACAAACAAAGTAAAATTGACAGTTAATTTAAAAAAGAAAAATTGTTTACATTGATTTCAGTATAACAGTAAATTATTAATTAAAATAATTATTTGTTTGTTTAATAGGTTTAATTTAGGTTAATGATTTATAGGTGACAAAAATGTAGAATAATATTAGCTTATCAAATTTTACTAATTCAAATATCAAATTTTATTAAACTCAAAACACATAGTAAAAAACCTTAATCCTTAAAATATTTGAATTTAAAAATGTATTATTTTTTATACCTGAAAATGAATAATTTATTAGAATGATGAAATGTATCAATGAAAATATTGAAAGTATCCTTCCAATAAGCTGGATCATCAATTATACTTAAATGAGTTTGAAGTTATGTATACAATATTCATATAAAAAATTCACAGAAGAAAATACATTTGCATTTAATGTAAAAAAGAGGATATCTACCATTAAATTAGAAAAAATAGCTGATGACCAAAGAGTTATATTTAATATCAAGTACCGTGTTAACATGTTGATGCGCAATAAAAAAAAAAAATTATTAGAGCATGGTCACTACAGCTCATCAATCACCCCTAAGGCGTCAGGCGCAATAGATGCCACTGGATGTGGAGTGGAATGAAATGATAGATTCCTTCAGAAAGTATACAAATATTAAATATGAAAATCATGTATTGCGGTCGGAAAACGCATTATCGATGAAATCTTGACTTGGAGGAAGAAAATTAAAAACCGTCATCAGTGGCGAGGTGAGTTTCATTTGCGAAAAATTAATTTTGTACTAGTTAAGAAATTAGTCGACTGATTTGTGGAAAGCCAACTTCACGAAGTATACTGTATATTCTATTACATTTAAAAAAAAACCTAATTATAATTTTATCATACTTCAATGCAATAAAATATAAAAACTTTCTGAATTATTCATTATTGGTTCAATAAACTGTATTATCACCATCACTGAAGATAGGTACCTAATAATATTATCTTTTCGTTTCTCACAATTTGTTAAAAATTAAAGTGAAGTATATGCAACACACACAATCCACCTGCCTCTCCTAGTGGTTATGCCCCTAATCAAGTGGCGAAACAATGATATTTTGGTGTTTTCTGACTTTCCGAATGCAGTGATAAAAGTAAGTACTTGTAATCATTCAGAAAAAAGTATAACTACTAAAAAAATACATATTTTTTTTATTTGAAATTTATCAAGCAAAATATATGTATTTATATATATATATATATATATATAATTTCAAGAATTGAAATAAATTGTGTAGTATTCTTTGTTCCTCCAAATACCAATATAATTTAATTGTAGTCTAGCTGTTGTGTCGGATTCTAATAATTAACGAGTATTAATAATGATATTATGAAACAATGGCCATTAGGAGGTACCTATATTATTATATATCGCAGTGGTTATCAACCTGTGCATCGTGGCTCCCAGGAGGCGTTGTAGTTTATTATTAAGGGGGCCACGTGTATAGTAAATATAATACAATAATACAGTAAATTTGTTTATTTTTTTTGTATTATTATATTATTATTATTATTCGTAAGAGAGCCGCTAATTTGGATTTCGAAATCGGAAGAGTCGTCGACCCAAAAAGGTTGAAAACCACTGATATAGCGTCCTGAATCCCCACAACAATTATTATTATTGTCCAAATTTATTTCTTATAAATCAGCTGCTATATCGGATACTTTACGTGATCCCGAAAAAAGAAAATCTTAACTGGCATGTATTATTATTTACCTACGTTTATTAATGATGAACACAATTATTACTTTGCCGATTATAATGTGAATTAGATGATAAGCTAATAGATAAAAATTATTGGAAGTAAATAATTAAAATATTATTAGGTATGACTAATTGTACATATCATGTCATGTACATAATATTATAATAGGCTTGATTATTATATTATTTAATGCGAAGTTTTTAAAAATATATTTCTATAGTAAGTATAATGCATGATAATTTAGGTATTATGTAAACTATATTTGGTCGTGACGTCACTGACTAAATAATGAATATAAGAATATCTACTCGATAATAATTCATAAAAACGGGACAATTTACATAGGTATAATGATGTACGAAAGAAATTTTACTCCGAATAGTTTTTTTATTAGTAATGGTTTATCATTGTGTACAGATATAAATTAAATTCCCCTCATCTATATCTTACCTTCCCAACTTCTCACCTATAACAGTGGCCCACACATTGTATGAAGTATGTCCGTCTTTTTTCATATGGACTTTAAAAAATACCAATAGTATAGGAAAAAATCAACTTATTCAATTTTAATTTGAAAATAGTAAAGGTAGAAGGTATCTATCCTTAGCCTACCGGCTACCTACCTTATAGATATGTCCTTGCTGTATAAATAATTTTTAATTTGCAAATAAAATGTTTAAAATTATGTACCAAGCAATAATTATTCTATAAAACGAATTCTCTAAATAAGTTGTATTTTGGCATTTTGCAAACTGGTCTATTATTTTCAATGCATCTAATTCTACTTTACGATGTACATGCAACAATACCTATCTGCCAAACTAGTCAGTCCTATTAATTGTTGTCACATTTGACTTCATCATAACCTGCAAGTTTTTAATCTAATGAGCATTAAATTATTATTGCTATATAGAGGAAAATATAAAGCAGAACATGTAACCTAACATTTCAATTAATATATTATTTGCACATTCTTCAAATTAAAACATAAAATTAGTCCTTGAGCAATTATGTCGAAAAACTTTACTATAATAGTACCATAATTGGCGTATCTACACTTGGTGCATCACAAGTAGATATATCAGTACGGTACCCAATATCAAAATTAAATAAAAACAGTGACGCAGTAGAGGGGCGATCGTCCCTTCGCCAACCCCCCACAAATACACCGCCCTAGCGTAATAACCTAATTAAATAATAATAATTGATTGTATTAATAATGGGTACCTACGTCATACAGTGTAATGGGTAACTACGTCATACTATATATGTATAATATAGATAATAATTATTATACATTATGCACAAAGGTACCTGTATGCAGTTGTTTAAATTAATCAGTGAAAGATCGAAAGATTGATTTTGGACAGTTGGAACGTACTTGTAGGTGTATAATATAGGTAGGTATTTACTGCACTAATCGACGTTATATATGACGCGTGACTCGTAGCTCGTAGCCTCATATCATTTCGCATAATGTACGCCTATAGCGGCTAAAACCTAACCTACCTACCTACCAACGCATGAGTAACCTGAATTACATTATAAATGGTAATGTATACATTATTAGGTAGGCATATTATAAAGCGTTCCTGAAATGGTATTTTTTATCATCTATTCGGTTTTTACACAAATCTGTTAAATGTTTACAAAAATTTTAATATGTAAAATAATTGTATACTTATTACATTATTCACACGTACGACGTACCTATAGATATATACCTACTATCTAGGTTTTCTCTCGTAATTTTTCTCCACTAAGTATGTGAAATACAAAAATAATACTATTCTACTTATTAGTTTTTATTGTTATTTTTTTTTTATAGTGTTTATTAATATAGATTCTTTGTTCATCTAATGTACAGATGAAGTGGCACAACCAGGGGTTCTGCCTTAGCCTCTTGACCCTGCCGCATGGATAAAAACCTATCTATCCATACAAATAATTGATCGTTTAATTTGGAATTTAATGGGAATAAAATAAATTAACGATTTTGCGATATTGGTTTTCAGACCCACCTTCCTCTTTTTGATATCCTTGAAAAATTGTGGTTGCGCTACTTTGCAGAGAAAAATATTCCCACATATTATCAAATCATATGAATAAACTTTTTAGGATTTTTATATATACTTTGTATATCCGCCAACTAACTGTAGATACTCCTAGAATATAATAATTATATCATCATGTCTCAAATCCAATTAATATATATTATTATTATTATTGTTAAAAAAAAAAACAATCAACACCCTTTCGCGGTTCCTGGACCTCAATCATTACAAATTACTATTGCACACGAGTACCTAGTTAATAATGTACGATGCATTAAACAACATTGTTAGACAAAATTTATATTATATATATATATTATAGCCTATACTCTATAGACATACGCATCCCTTATAAAAATGATGAGTTAAAGCTTAAATTTTAAATAAAAAAAGGGTAGACATAATTCGCACGTGGATGAAGCCACTGTTGTAGGTGGGAAGTTAGGAAGGTAGAATACAGACGGGAATTTAATATATATCTTTAAGCAACGATAAACCATTGTTAACGAAAAAATGATTTTGAGCGGAGTTCAGTTGATAGTAGTGCTTTGTCAGCAATATATAGGATATTATGTTATAGTATGGTAAAATGATTACAATGAGCGTTTCCATGACAACGATAATTGTTTAAAAAACTTTTAAATAATAAAAACTTAATAATAACAAAAAATAAATAAAAACGGTTACCCATGACAACCTTATTTTTAATCTTTCAATTTTTTTTTAACCTAAAGACCGAGGTTTTCCTAATTATCTCGAATATTAATGAAATTTCTAAAATGACCACCCAGAAAACATTTCCTTTCAGAAAAGGTGCTTTAATTGATAATCAGAATATGCTTTCTTGTACAAAAAGTGTTCCCAAAAATAAAAATAATGATAAATAAACATCAATTGTAAAACCAATACATTTCTCGTTCTACTCAGAATCTAAAATTGTTCCATTTAATCTTAAAATAAATCTAAATGATTTGTTTTATTGCAATGTAATAAATCGAAAATAAAATTATATTATCTATAGGTATCGTATTCGGAATAAGAAAAACATATGAGACCTGGTAATAAAATATTTCTTTTCGATATCATTATTTTATTTTAGATTCGGAGCATACAGTAAGGGATATATTGGTTTTAATGTTTTTTTTTTTAATTTGTCTACATATGAAAAACTTTTCCATCAAAAATCTTGCTCCAGAGTATCAAGTATACCTAGCACTT